GGACGGCGCGGCCTGGTGGGCGGCGGAGGCCGCGGCGGGCTGGGCCGAGGCGCTGGGAGTGGGCGGCGGGCAGGGCCCCTGGCTCTGCCCGGAGCCCGGCCTGCAGGAGGAATTCCCGGCGGCGTTTGGGAGGGAGGAGTGCGAGCCGCGAGGGCTGAGCCCCCTGGGTCTGCAGGGATGGCCGGAGAGCCCCGGAATGAAGGATGAGTTCTCCTTCATGGATATTAAATTGGAAATCTCCTCCTCGGACGAGGAGGGCGCGGGCTCGCAGAGGCGCAGTGCCTGCCGCTTGCCCGAGGTGCTGCCGCCCGCGAGGGCCGCGTGCGGCCGCGAGGGCGTCGAAGGGCTTTGCTCCCTACTGGTGCCCGATCTGCCGATCCCGGAGCTCGAGGAGAGCCTGGGCCCCGCGCGGGAGGGCAGCGGCCCGGCCGAGGTCGGGAGGATGGAGAGCGAGGAGTGGTGGCCCTGCGTGCAGCCCAGCGCCCTGCTGCTCGAGGGCGACACCGGGAGCGCCCCCGGCGGCGGCGGCACCAAGACCTCCCCGAGGAGCGAGCCCCAAGGAAGAGGGAGAAGAGCCGGCAAGAGAAAGAGATCTGCCCCGTCTGACCTGGAGCCGCCGGGAAGAGCGGAGGCTACAGGGAAGAGGGGAGGGTGTCCCATGGCGGGATCCGGGGAGATGGGGACGCCGGAGAAAAAGAAGAGGAGAAGCGTGGGCAGGAATGGCAAGGCGGCCGCGGGCAAAGCGAAGCTCCGAAGCCCGCGAAAGGCAGGCAGCTCTTCCATGGAGGAACCACCGGCACCCGGCGGAGGAGCAGGGCCTCTGAGCGGGGACTCCTTCCCGCTGCCGAGTCCGAGCAGCCAGGAGCAGCCAGGAATGCGAGGGAAGAGGCAGAAGCGAGCCAGGATAGAGCAGCCGCGGAGCTCAGACCTCCAGGAAGGAGCAGGTAGCCTGGGTGTCACTGTGCCCCATAGCAGAACTGCTGACATATCCTGGGGAAGGTGACACTGTACCCATAGCAGAGCTGCACAGGTATCCCGGGGAAGGTGATGCTGTGCCCCATAGCAGAACTGCACAGGTATCCGGGGAAGGTGATGCTGTGCCCCATAGCAGAGCTGCACAGGCAGCCTGGGCGCTCCCAGGGCAGCACCAGCCTGGAGCTGCAGGGCTGGTGCCGGGCAGGGATGGAGCAGCAAGCCCAGTGTCGGGCAGGGCGCGCTGCCGCTGCACGTGCTGGTGTCTGCGTGGGGTGGCATCGGGAGCACCGGCTAGCGGGGCTGGTCCCCTGGCTCAAAGGGGTGCGTGTGGGGCTGCTCACAAAGCAGAGCAGAAACAACGGGCTCTAGCTTCACACAGGGCAGCACTAGTCTTGGGCGAAAACTGGAGGCCAGGCCTTTGTTGAAGAAAATGGAAACCGAAAATTGGGAGGGGAAAATGTTTAGTGAAGATGAAGGAGACCATGCAGCCATTTTATTTTTTTTTCTACTTTAGACTAGAAATAGAAAAAGAAACAGGGACAGCAACAGTAGGCCCCTGAGCGAGAATTTTCTTTTTCCTCAAAAACAATTGGTTCATTTACATGTAGAAGGTCAGACATAGGCAGGGAGAGAAGAGCTGGTAGTTTCAGCTGAGCTAAAACAAAAGGTGGTTATTTTTCTCATTTACTTATATACTGCGGGATTATTTTCGTGTTTTCCTGGGTTTTTGCTGCCCTTCAGAGGCTCCTCCTCTTTGTTTCCAGACCTTATTGCTGCTTTTTAATCATTAATTCTCTATAAAACCATAAAAGCTGTAGAAGCAGTGATTTTACTTTAGTGTCTCATATCAAACTGGTGATTTTGAAAGAGGCTTAAAAAACCCCAGCATACTCGTCTGTTTTTTCCAAAACAATTATCCTGAAATACATTCTTTTTGAGGAGGATATATCTTCAAAATGAATACATTCAAATGGCAGGTTTTTGATCTTATTATTAATAAATACTTAATATAGGTACCATGGTCTGAAAAAATTGAGAAACAAGAATTCTATGTTGCTTTGAAAACTGAAATCTTGAAATTTTACCAGTACCTTTTTGAGTCCGTTCTTCAGGTGAAATTCTCAAATGCACAGTTCTAGGCAACCAGTATTTTCTCTTAAATAGATAGTGTTTTATAAAAACACAAATCCTCATTCTTGAACTGTCTGGTGCATTTGAGTAGACTATACCTGAAATGAGACCTATATACCTATGAACAAGCGCTCATATAACAGAGCATCCAATATATGAACAAAAAGGTTGTAATAAAAATGGGGAAGGCTGGTTGTGCAGACAGCACCTGCATTTTCTTGCAAGACCTGCTCTAATTTGGTTTCCATCTGTACTTTTTTCCATTTGGTGCTTTGGATTTCCCTGTGACATCCTTTGGCTTCTGTTCTTCATCTGTGCTTTTCCAGACTAGACATAAATTGGAACCGTGAGTTTGCTAATATTGTACCCCTGTTAGTAAAATGGAACAGTGATTACTTTAATATTGTACTGCATAATGGCTTTAGGTAATCTTGAATGTTCTCAGTCCTTCTCATAAATACTGCAGTTGTGGTGTTCTTTTTCTTGTTTTTCCTTAGAGTATTCCTTAATTAGGCTGTTTTCTTTGTTTTTAAGTAGCAAAGGAAAAAGGGAAAGAGCAAGACTCAGGTTCACAGGCTGTGAAGGAGCTCAAGACAAACTTAAATAGATCAGAAGGTTCCACAGAGAAGAAACCTTATTCCTCTGAATCTCCTGAAATTGCCACATTGGATGGGACTGAAGGCAAGGAATATCTATGCCATTCTTCGGCAAGGAAGTCTAGTGTACAGTGTAAAAAAAGAAAAAAAGGAACTGATCAAATAAAGTCTTCACAAAGCTTTGGCGTAAGCACAGCTGAAAAAGCGAAAAATACGTCAACAACATATGAGGCAGAACGTTATGGGAAGACCCTAACCCGCTGCAACTGCTTGCCACTTGTAACAGAAAAGAATCCAGTTGTGAGACTGGAGGCCTGCACTTACATAAACACACTCGTCAAGTCTTCGGTTGACGGGACAACCGGCAGCCTTAAAATCAGTGGATTCTTCCACGTGGCCCAAGGTAAGAGGGCTGTTTGTCCTGGTGGTGCTGTAGAGCAGAGGGCTGTAAACAGCAGCACTAAGGGAATGCAGAGCGGGAGATCCCCCCTAAAAGGAGGCTTCTTGTCCAGTGAAGAAGAGGAGCATCAGCACACAGAAGGGTTTTTTTCATGCCTTAAGGGTGAAAAGAGTAAGTGTGCAAGGGAAAGAAAGTGGAATACTGGTAGGCGGCCTAGAAAAAAGTTGCAGGTGGCTGAGGAAGCAGCAGTCCAGAAGGATCCCCAGGACCCGGCCGGCAAGTGCAGCAAGTGTGGGTTAGGAGCAGAGGAGCCAGTTGCCACACCAGACTCCTCAGTGGTCTTTGGCCTAAATCACCAAGAAGTGACTCTGACCGCTTCATATGATCATATGTCAAATCTTAATGTTGGAAAAAATACTTGTAAAACACCAAATAGATCAGTCCGCAGAAGAAAATGCGTCAAAAGTCTTGCACTTGAAGGTTGCTTTGAGGAGGCGCCCGAGCTCCCTACAGTGGCAAAAGGAGAAAATCCCAGCGGCGTGGCACCACAAGGCAGCACTGCTAGCTCGGGCAGCACGGGGGCATTAACCCAGGCCTGTCACGTTTCTAGTTGTCAGAAACGTGTGCCAGTTGAAAGATTGAATAAAACTAGTAAGAAATTGAAATGCTCTACCAGTCAAAGAACAATACCAATGACTGGCAAAAACGTTTGGCTTCTGAAATCGTGTGCAAGGACTTCTGGATGGTTTTATAAAGATCACAGTTCCAAGTCAAAACAAGAAAAACCTCTAAGTTCTGACTTGGAGAAAGCTCCTGATAAAAGCAGTATTGAAGCTGTAGGAGAGAACGCTGTGACCAGCAGTTTGAAACAGCTGGATCTACCTGTGTCACCAGCAGAAATTAAACAACCTGCACATAAAATAGTGGATCTGAATACTGAAAGCCTGACTTCATTTGAAACTCCCGAATCTTCCTTCACAGATATTAATGGAACTTTGAGAATAAGTAGCAATGAAAATCTGGAATTGCCTCTTAACACTGGTAGCCTGGAATCATCAGTTAACACAGGTAGAAGTTCTATGGCTTGTAGCCTTGGTGATGTGCAAGAAGCTAAAGCCACCCTGAACTCTACAACGAAACAAAAAGATAAAAGTAAAGGAGCTGCAAGAAAGAGAAACCTCTCCAAGACAGTCCAGAATGGTGCAGCTGCGAGTAACAACAGTAAAAGAAACATCAGCAATAAAGCATCAGTTGCAAAGCAAACACTTTCTGATTTAAAACTAGTAAAAGTGTTAAACACGGGAAACTTGTCAAATTTCAAAATTCCTTTACGCAAAAACAAACCTGAATCCAGAAAGTTGGAAGCTGCCCTTTCATTTGAAAGTCCACTAGAAGTGCTGGACAACGCTAGTGTTTCAAAAAGGCAGAAGAGAAGCGAAGAGACTTCTCTGGTCAATTCTGAGCAGCAGTCTCTCTCTGCAGTGCATGTTGTTTCAGCTACAGATTCTGTGAAGAAGAAAGCTGATGATGCCTCTGAAGACCTTTCAAATGAGATCTCCACCCTTCCTGAACATATTTCTTTCTATCCGCATGCTGCTGTTGAGAGACCAGAATCATCTGGTTCAGATTCTCAGACTAGAGAATATGTACCAAAACCTAATCTTCCTGATGAGCCTTGCAGTGCAGTTGGCCACCCTGTTGCACGAGAACTACATGGTGATGGCAAATCAAAGGGGAATCTTTCACAGCACAGAAGTGAAAGCTTTCCAGATGTTTTTGAAGCCTACAAAGAAGATATTCTCCTGATTGATGTGATCCAGGATGATCCTGACCTTTTTGGGACCAGTGATGATGAGGCCCCTTCCCTCCCAGACTCTGAAAATTGTCCTGCAAAGACATCCTGTAGCGGCACCTTCATCACAGGAGAAAAGCCAGAATTTAAGCCTCAGTATCGTGTCGTTTCAGAAAATAAAGATTCAGTAGATGATTTTAGGTATGCATATCATTCCTCAGGATGACAGTGTTTTTAAGTGCTTTGATCTTGTATTCTTCGGTTGTAGTGGTTAGGCTTCCTTACAGAGTTTCACAGTTTCTGTGCTAGCTTTAAGTGTCATAATGAGGTTGGAGTCTGACAATATTCTGAGTGTAAATATGGTGTTTTGTGGTATTTTCATTAAAGAACTAGGATAAAGGTCTAAATCCAAGGAGAACTTTTTAATGGTAGCTTATTCTTTATTGGAGCTGTATGAGTAAATGGTTGTTTCCTCAGTTGTTTCTGTTTGCTTTTATGCTATCCCCAGATGTGAATAGTTTTCAGTTCTTTAATTGGCTAATAGGTTATAGATGGTTGTGCTTCTGAATCTTCACTCGTGGACTCTGTGTTATAAATAATTCAGCATCTATGTTTTTCTAGGTTTTGATGAGATGATAAAAGTGAAGGATAGGGAAGAATTTAAAAGTACTGCCAAGTTTTCACAAAAGCAGCAGTGTTCCTTTGTGGGGTAGATTAACTAGTCAACTCTGTAGTCTGTTTTCTTTCTAAATTCTGATCTTTGCATTTGATCAATGACTTTTAAGATTAAATTCCTCATCTTACAGTGAAAAATGTAAAACAGAATTTTATCTAAACATGAGTCTTACGGGATTTCCTCATGTTTGTTTTGTTTTAATGTTCTTCTGTTCTATTTCTGGGTAGCTTTATGCTATCTGTATTTTAAATAATTATTTTAACAATACATCATCTTTTAAATCTTTTTTCATTCATTAAAATTATATGCAAAAGAAGAAAGGAATTAAAGAAAAGGAAGTATAGTAAATCTATTAAAATGAATATTCATTTTTTGTTTATGTGCAGGTCATATTATATTTTCTATGTGCTATATATTACAGTGAGCATTCAGTGTATATTATCCCAGGTTAATAATGGCTGTTCAGAGGTGGACACGTTTTTCAGCTGACTGTGCAGACAGCCCTTGCACAGAATGGAGCAGCAGAACTGCTGAGCCCTTTCCTGCCACGACTCATGGACAGATGGGGAGTTTGCTGTTTGTTTAGTATCAACAGAAAAAAAAAGTTGCGTGGGGGAGCTAGTTTGTACGGGGGATACATATATTAATTAGTGATGAGACTGAGTAAGATTAACACTGCCAGAGCATTATATATATATGGATAGTGAAATTTTATAGCTTCTTATGCATATGCAGTTTTTCTCCATTGCAGTATTAATTTGGAATGTCACTTCCAGCTGTTAGCAGAGAAGAGTCAGTCAGATGGTAGTGTTGTTAGTCCTCTCAAGCTTGGATACATTCCGCTGTGTGTGCCTCTCTTCCATAAGGTTTGACTCTCCTTTCCCATGCAGAACAGCACTGAGCACAGTTAATGGCTGCTTGTTGATGAGCAGCATCTTCAGCTGTATCAACACATAGTTTTTGTTAAGATTTCCCTTCAGGCTAATAGGAACAGCAGGCAGTGATAGAAAGTAACCATATACAGGCTGCGTGGATTTTTGCTAAAACTCCATGTTAGAGTTTTAGCACACCTGGGGACAGACTTGAGTTTGTTAGTTTTGATGTACTGAGATTTAGTCCTGGCATTGGTACAGAAAGGTGAGACCTAAACTGCTAGCAGCAAGTGATTGTGAAGGTTCTGTGCATGTTTGGGTCATTAAAAACTTTTAAAATGTGTCCCATGTCACTAATGACTTAACTGTAATTAAATACAGATTGTAAAAGAAACCACCGGTGCATTAGTCTGCACTCCTCTTAAAATCTCAAATTCTGTGATCAAGGAGCTTGTCAAAGTGAAAGTTGGTGTAATGAGCTAACACTTTTTCTCCAACTTCCTTGTGAAATGAAAGTAGTGGAACAGTGTGATGGATTTTACAGGTTGGTTTAGTAACTGCAGCTGGAACTGTTAGCAGTGTGGATCCCTCTCCTCCAGGTCCTCCCCCATCCACCTCCACTTTGAATCTAAACACCGAGACTGACAACCAACTGGAGAGGAGCCTCACCTTGCTAGATACTTCTTTTTGACTGATGTATGTGAGTGAGTAGGTGTTTAGCTCCTATCTGTGACCTACTAAAATTCAGGAAAAGCCCATCAGTGATTCCCCAAGCAGTTTGGTTTAGTTAGTGCACTCTGATCTCTAGGTTAGGTAGGACTGGCTGGTCATATTATGGCTGCATTTTAAGAAAAGAGTGAGCACTACTCCCACTCAGTAGTTGCCTGTCTACACAATTAATTTGATAAGGATTTGGGAGTGTTTTTTGATGTGAGCATGAAGTCTGCTTTTCAGTCTCTTGACAGTTGTGTACTTGCAGCTTTAGGCAGGTGACAGCTTTCTGGTCTGTCTGCACTGCAGCTTTATGTGAAGTCAGTTGTTACAGGCAAAATGGCTCAATTCTTGTATTTCACTTAAAATGTACAGTCGTGGGTGTGAGCAGTAGGGAGAGAAAGGAAATAAGTCTACGGAAAGCCTGCCTCCACTAAAAAGTTCCCTTTCTTTACAAACCTGCTTTAGCTTGCTATGGAACTGTGTTTCTTAATATTTCTTGTACCTCTACACAGATATCTGTGCCAGAATGTTTGTGTAGCTTAGAATTGCATTTACTGCAAAACTTGTTGATTTGTTAGTGCATTTCCACAGATTATCATTGTTCTGTTTTAATAGGCAGCATTCTGTCATTATAGTGGGTCTTAATTGGCCAGGTATGGTCTTCCCAAACATCCATATACATACATGTGTGTGTGGGTATATATGTATGCATATATTTTATCTTCTGAAATTTTCTAAGGAGAAATGCTAGATTTCTTCAAAATTACCTTAAAAGTGGATGACATAAGAATGTTTTGTATAAATGTTTTTGTTACTGTCTTTGAGAATTGTTACTATGAATTGTCTTGAATACAAAATAAGGACACATCGCGTTCTTAGAAAGTGGTGCATTGGCTCCTTAGCACAGTACTTCCATAATAATATTTTTCCAATAATAAAAGAAAAAACCTTTTTTTTCCAAAACAGAGACAGTACAGTACAAGAATCTAGACCATTGAATGACGCTGAAAATTCCTGTTGCTTGATGTTAAAAGGTAAGAGTTTTTGAATGGATATTTTTGAATGTGATCTCAGAAAAGAAAGTAACAACACAGTTGTTCAGTAACAGAACCTGGAATTTATGCTTTCCAGATAAAATGAGAATCTGTCAGTTCAGTGATACCTTTTTATTGTGGTGAGGATTTATTTCTACAGCGTATATGAAGCAAAAGCCTTTTGAAATGGTGCAAACCTCTGTTTTACAGAGAACATCTGCTTGTTCTATAGGACTTGTCTAGTGGTAGAGTTATTTTCTGTTTCTTCTTGCCCTCTTACCTGACATCTGTCTGATAGGATGGTCAGGAACCAGCTTCCTCTATTAGTTGATGGGACAGCAGGAGGACACGGAGTACCTCATACTGCTTTGGAGCCAGGCTCATGCTCTCACTTGGTTGTTCTCATGTTTTCATCATCAGAGAGAATTTTATAATAGTTTTTTTTCTAGGTAATGCTCTTACTGTTTGCAGATATTCCTCAGACAGCTATTTTTAAGGAAACTTCTTTCTAAAGTAGCATACTTGACCGTATTTGCTTTTCTTCATTTTGTAAGGAGAGCTCTCCAACGAGGCAGTACCTGTGGTCTGCTTTATTTTCTGCAGCTTGCATGCAGACCTGCTGTGCAAAGTGCATCTGATGTGGAACTTCCTTTTAGATAGGCTGGAAAATCTTGACATTGAAACACACTTACTGCTGACCTACTGGAGAAGACGCAGGGTGTGAAACTGGTTTGGAAGGTTCTTGGTGTTTCTGGTGTCAGTTATCAAGCTGCTGTTAATCCAGCAGAGTCTGTTGTGCTGTTTTGCTGCAGGCTTGAAGAGTGCCTGTTATGAACAGTACTGCTTCTGTGTTCTGTTTCTTGGTATTAAAAATTAATTATTACTAATGGGTTATTCTCCTATTCTCCTGCACAAGCAAGTGTTATGGACAGATACTGCCATATCTGAAGGAAGGAGAGGCTGAATTTTCCCCTCATAATGAGCGTTTTAGGAGGAGAAAAGTTTTAAAACTTTGTTGAGGAAGACAAGATAAAAAGTAGTGAGAGTTTAAGACCTCTTGAAGAGGTTGAAACATAGGGATGCCACTGAGGAAGAAGAGGGGGCAGATGTAGAGTGAGATGTGTATTTTGGGATGTAAAAATACAGAGTCACAGGGTATATTCTATGCTATATACAATACAGAGATGTTTGAAACCTAATTTAGAAGCAAGAGCACCTGGAAGCCTCATGATGCTTTGTTTATACTGCCTTTTACTTTCATTTTGTACTGTTTGATCATATCTTCATTTTCTTAACTATTGTGTCATTGTGTTTCATATTTTAGTAAGATGTTAAGGCTGGTAAATCTGTGGATATTTTTGCAGTGTTAACAATAAGGAAAATGGCTTAGGCAAGCCATGCTTCCCTGGCCTGAATAACTTAGGAACTAATCTCAGTCTAATGTAACAATGTGCATACTGGTCTTTGCTTGATGTATGCCTTTAAAAAAAAAAAATAGAAACGGCCTGCAAAGAACAAATGAAGATGAGTATTCTTGGTAATTTCCGAGGATTTATGTGTTCATGTAGAAGTACGTGTTACTGCTTTGGTGTCTCATATTGCATAGCAAGGTCATTGCTGCTTGCCTTAGTGGCTTCCTACAATTAAGGCTGAGTATTTTGATGACATAAGATAAAGATAACTCTTTTCATCTTTCAAGCAGAAAGATTATATACGTAGTTCTCATACTGAAGTGACTTTTACAGATGAAGATGTAGAGACAACCAAGATAAAGGCTTTTCCAATAATAATCCAATTCTTTACTCTCCAGACATCACAGTGCAGTCAAAATTCATTCATATGATCCAGTGAAGTGGTGGATTTCTCTTCTAGGCAAAATCTCTCCATTTTTTTTTGTACATAAAGAGCTTCTTAATGCTGTTTTCAGATGTTTTGTTCTTTTTCTGTCATGGCACCTCTAAAAGTGTTGGAATTTCTGAACACGGAATTATTACGGAGTTTGCTGTATTATGGGAATTTGGAGTTTCTCGGTTGTCTTTAGTTCTGAGTTGCATCATGTTATTACAATAAGCTAAGCTCCTTCTCCAGCAAAGTCCAAGTCTTTATTTGCATAGCAAATTACCATGCATGTCTTTAGCTGTGCTTTAATGATAAAAATTAACTGAGTTTATTCATAAAATATTGCATTCAGTATTGTGTAAATAAGCCTCTTGTACTGTTCTACAGGGATGGTTACAGAACATGCAGCATGGTTGAATTTTTAATTGCAGATTCAATGTAATACTTTGAAATGGTTCATACTTTAAAGGTAAAATAATTTTGCATGAAAAATTCATATTAGGAAATCCTAGGAGACTTCCTAGGAGATTTTAAATGTCATTATTATTAAGCCTTTGAAATAGCTAGGAAATAAAAGCCTTGTCTTGTAGTATGGAAAATAATATGTTTATAAATTTTCAGCTCATGAAATGAAAACCTACATTTCATCGAGCGCGAGTAGCCCTTTGGGAGGTGTTACTGAGGACTCCTTTGAAGATGGACAACTGAGTGAACTAGATGAACTTTTAAAGGGTTCTGACATGGATGAAGAGGTAACTTTAATGACAAATGCTGTTTCATTAATAAAATTTTTTAGTTCCTTCTTATAAAGAGAGCGCTGCTTTCATAGTTGTGCAGATTACTGTGCACTGTTGGCAGGATGAGAACCTTTTTTGACCGAACTTGTGATTTTCTTAGCTGTCACTCACAACTGATCTTCAGATTTGAACTCGAGCAATGTATTGTCATATCAGTTATTATAGTAATTCTGTACTGACAACTGTATAAAAAGTACTATTCCAGTAGATATCCAAGAGTGCTTTGATGCAGCTATATTGAACATAATTCTAAGAAGCTGGTGCTAAGTGTTTCCAGCCCGTGGTCGCAGAGGGGTGAGGCGGTGCTGGGGAGCTGCCCGGCCGGCGCAGCAGGGATGAGCGTTTCGAGGTTGGTCACTTGGGCAGTAGAGGCTCTGCACAAACACACTGACCTCCCGACGTTTCAGAGAGAACCTTAAGCCTTTCTCCTGCTCAGTGAGGTTATCTGAGCTTTCACATTTTCCCTTTCTTCCTTCCCCTAGATAATTTAGTGTGGGAATTTTAAGATTTGCTGATTTTTCTCTTTGCTGTTGCCTTCTTTGATCATGGATGGGAGTTTGGATTTCACAACCAGGCAGACATAAGTGCTGATAGTGTCTACTGTTTTTTCACTCCCTCAAGAGTGGATAATGAATTTGTCTGGTTAAGCTAAACTGTAGAATTCACATGGCTAAAAATTGGTAAGTGTGGTGTGAAGTAAGTAATAGGATGTTAAGGACCTTGCGATAGGGGAGAATAAAGGAGTCCAGCAGTGGGCTGGAGGAAGATGAATAGGTGGGAGGCGTTGATAGTAGCTCTATGCAGCATGGCTTGGTTGCTGGAGGAGTAGTATTTGTTGCAAAAGCTGCAATTGTTGCCAGGTCACTCCCAGATGGGGGTAATTCATAATGTTCTGACTTTATAAAAAGCAATGTCCTAACATACTGCTTTTCTGTGCTCTCTTGAACAGTGGATATATGCCTCTACTTGCACCTAAACCTCAGTCTTAACTCCACAAACTTGTGCTGCGACAGACATGTTGCACCCCTAAACCTATCCCCATATGTGGATGAAAAATTAGCTGTGCAGACTGGTGGAGGGAATAGAAGGACAGAAAACTTCTTAGTGTTGATCGTTTTTCTTGTTTGTTTTTTTTTTCTTGTTTGTTTTTTAATGGTTTTCAGTCTTCTAGTGCTGTGAAAAAGGCAGATGCTAACCACGGAGAAAATCTGAACTGTGTAGGGGAACCGGTGCAGTAAAATTTGGATATGTGATATCCTTTCAAGCACATCCTTCTCTAATTCTTTGGCTCTCATAAATTTGTAATACAATATGAAGTTAAGCAACTTATTTCACAAATAGTAGAAAAAAACAAAAACAGAATTTCAGTTTGTCCTGTATCAGTTCATTCCCCTTACCCTCCCAAAATCTTAGATACTCTTTCCTCTGCATTTTGGAGGATATTTTTTTCTATATTCCTGGCATGCAGCTGAGTAACAGCCTCAGATTTCTCCTCTGTGCAGCTTTTAATTTTCATTGAGCTTTATAGGAATGTCCTTGGTGGGATTTCAGCGCATCTGTCAGCTACAGCTAAAATTAGTTAGTGGACCTCAAAATTCTGGGGAGGAAAGAAAAGTGAGGAAACACCCGTTCAATCATATCATCCTTTTCCCCATTAAAAGCCTACACATTAAAGATCATAATTTATAAAGGAAATATGTCAATTAAAAAGATGAGGTAAGAATAACCCTACAGTCCAAATAATGTTTTCTAGTTAAGACTATATTACCAGACTTTTCAACAAAAGACTTACAGTTTTAAATCTGTAGTGTAAAACGTATATCAGGCTTGTTAGTGCTGTGCTGTATATATGAAAGTGTATTTTAAATATCCTCACAGTTCAGGTTTGCAGATGGGATGGCTGGCATTAAGCAGGAAAAAACAGGTGAAGCTGGCGAAAGGTATGTATGCTCTGTCCTTTGAGTAACCTCTAAGGAACCTGTGAAGTTCCTCAGTCACTGTACAAGTAAAAGGTGATGATTTTATCAAAACACCATCAGGCTTTTAATTCACTTTTTCCTGTTACACCGTGGCAAGGTGTGAAAGAAAATAAGTATGTGAAAGATTTCATTATGCTAAGTACGAAAAGGAAATTATAGCTATAGCCTGCTGCATTAATAGGAGGTATTTTGTCCTCTGGTTGGTGACTCTTAAAAAAATTCACCAGCCCTTAATGAAACTTTAAGCTTCCTTTGCTGTCTCTTGGGGCTTTTCTAAAATTGGTGGAAGGATTGAAAGACTCTCATTCAAATTCAGGCTGGCAAATCTTTGAACAGCAGTAGAAGAAGGTGCTTTAAAATGTGACATGGAGTTAAACATATGCATAACTGTTCTGCTCACTTCAGGCTGTGCTTACACTGTTATTTGTATGTGTGACTTAACTGTGAGAGTAAAATGCATCGCTCTGATATCAGCCCCAAAACCCAGCAGAGTAAGACTTTACAGAAAAAAGATACTTAACTGATGGAGTAGGTAAGTGATTAGCAGAGAAATAGAGTAGCAGATATTCCAGCATCGTTTTTATACTAATTGAAAGACTTCAGCTTGCACAGAAGAGGCCATTGCTTTTTTTCCAGCACCAGTCACATTTATGTGACAGAATTCAAATTTAGCACATGTCCATTAAGTAGAGAATATTGCATCTGTTCATTAACCAAGCAGAGAGCTTCAAGCTCCCTCTGGTAAAATATCCATATGAATTTACTTTAGTAGCATAAATAGTTCTTTATGCTATAGATATCACAGAATGGATGAGGTGGGAAGGGACCTCTAGAGATATATGTTAGATAAATGTATATGTATAGTATAGGTAGATTATGTTAGATAAAAATGTTTATGCAAGTGATACCACATTAATTCACATCTTTTCCATAGCACAGTGTCGCAGCAAAGATTTATTTTCTTAGTTGAAAGAAGTATCTCTATGGTTGTAGAAGAATATCCATTTATCCATCATTTGGAATCAATCTTTTTTCTCTAGTTTATTCAAAAATACTGCCCTTGCAAAATTTCATCTAGAATAAAAAGCTGTCCCCATTTAGAAAACTCTGCTTCTAGCCATGGTGTTGCTTGGAAATTGCTTGTATAGCTGTATAGCTTATAGTTCTTGGTGAAGCAGTGTGTAGGTTGGCATCTAGATGAAAAAGAGAGTTGAGGTTGTTACCCTAAAGGTAAGTTGCTGTGAAGATCCTGTCACATTATAAGCTGAAAATTTGTGGCAGCTAAATCCACAAACTTATTCCTCTGAAGACTAATGCATCAGCTAGATTAAAAATAAAAATGGATATTGAAGGAATTGGGCATATTAGATGACATCTATTCTGCTCTGCATTATTATTTTTTGCTTCCAAGTATACTGAAAACATCCCACAACTTTAAACAGTCTTGAATTATCCTAGTTAGGGAAAGTATTGAATAAGTAGTAGTTCAGAAGCTAGAACAATTCCCTCGTAGGGAATAGGAAGTCTCTTCCCTATGAGGATAGACTTCCTCGTATCCCCCTCTGTTTCTCTTCCTAAACAGCAAGGAGGGGGAAGCATCCCTTAAACTAGTTACTTAATTCGCAGGGAAGGAAAGGCCTCATATATAGGGATTTTTTTTCTGTGACTTTAGTTGCATATAAGAAGGGTATCACCTAAGTATTTTCCTAGCAATGTTTATATCTTATTTTGGAAAACAACACATTTCAGTAATTTAATTGTCTGTAGCATATATATTTGGAACTAGTTAAAGGCAGAATAATTTGTAATTGAGGTTGCCTTGGAAATCTCCTAAATCTTGTGCTGGATAGAGTAGGTTATTAAAGAAAACAGTTGACTCCTCAAGAGTAATTTCAAAAGCTGTATGGATTTCTTTGGAGAGACTATATAGCGTTTTATTGAAAAGCAAGTGCTTAAAAGACAGCAGAAATCATCTCAACCTTCCTCTCAGTGAAGTGAAAAAAATTAAGTGATTCACGAGTGCTTTTTGTAGTCATTTACTGAGTTTAATATAGTCATACTTTAGGATGGAATCATCTTAGTTGATTGTAATCTGGTGTGACTGAGGTCTAAGAGAAATTCCAGTTGTTGGGATTGTTAGCCATTTAAATATACATAGAGTGTGTTACTTAACTGTTGCAGAAGTTCTGATTTTTAATATACATATTAGGTGTTTAGTATATAGGAGAAGCAACCATTTAATTGATTAAATAATTGTGTTTATTTTAACACTCAGCAGTGACTGTAAATTTAAAGATGTTTTCAGCTGTGAACTTCAGTCAGGCTTGACATTGCCTAACCTGAAAGTAACTGTCTCCAGTGAAGGCACAGTGCTGACACCCTGGACAAATGGTTTGTATCCTGTATTAGTTAACCCTCCAGAGTCTTTTACTTGTGTTTTATTTTCATACAAAGTCTTGAAGGATTTCTTCAGTTTGTGAAGACACTGGCTGGAGTTCATTTTAGTTTGTTTTATAGAGGCAAACATGGAACCTACGTGGGGAAGTTAATTTTTGTTTTGTTTTAGTAGGTTTACGTCTGCTAATTTCCAATAGCAGTTATTTTTATTTATAGTTTTCAGGTACTTCAGTGTTAGAACACTGCCTGTATTCTTAGTATTTTAACATGCTGTATTTGAACGACATTATGAGAAAATAACTTATTTTTCAATCAGAGAATAACTTTTTTTTATTCTCAGCAAAACTTCATAAAGGGATTTGCCTCACCAAGATTCAGAGCTTGATGTTTATGTCATGTTTGTGAAGTGTTCACTAAATGGGATCACGGAAAGGATCTGGATTTAATCGGCAGTGCTTTGTTTCAGCTTGGTGTGTTCATAAGCGGCGTGGGTGCCTCGTGTCACCAGAGAAATTATGGATAGAACTGTAATAGAACTGGATTTAAAGTTTTCTGATTTCAGATATTTTTCTCTTTGCACAAAACAGCTCTGATATTTGGCCATATATGAAAGAATAGCTTTCTTTGGTGTGTGAGAGAGAGAAGGATAAAACTACGTTACTGGTTTTAGATTATATTACTCCAGTTTTCATTAATCATTGCCTTGCATTGAAGAATTTCTAAATATAAAAAGAAAAAAAAAAAAAACATGAGTGTGCTTTGAATGGTTTATTTTATAACATGATCCACTTAACTGCCTTTATCCTAATTCTTAGATTTCAGGTTTTCAGGAAACAGTTCTTTGCTACCTTTGCAAAATTACAGAGATCTTGAACCATGGAAGACGGACAAAAATGTAAAAGTGAGTTGCTAAATCCATAATGGTTTCCAACACTATGGCACTAATTTTGTTGCAGCTATTCAAACAGTTCTCCATGGGTCTATTCAGAATTTACCAGCCTATGTAGGCTTACATTTAAGAACAAAATTGATGCGGAGAGAGCTGTTCACTGGAAGTTTGTTGATTTCTGTTTCTAGCTTAAAACAGAATAAGGTTTTCAGATTTATTATTTTTGTAGAACTGAAAGGCAGAGCAACTTTCATATGTTCACAAGAGATGCATGTTTATACTGGGCACTGGGCAAAGGAAATCAACCCAAAATATCCTCAGACTGTTACCCAGAGGAGTTTACCACATTTTTTCCTCCTTTCTATTCTTTGCCAGCCTTGTGTAACTGTTACGTTGTGCTGTCTCACGTGGTCTTCAAGAGAGATTTTCATTGTGTTAGGCAATAAACAGGCATATAATGAAGCAATAATTTTAGTCTGCTTTGAAATGTTACAGGTATGATATAGTGGTGAGAGTTTTTCAAAGGTTTGATTGTAGATCACATATTGCTTGCTTTTACTTATAATACCTATATATTTTGGATTTCTTAAAGTGGGTTTTTTTGTGTTTTATTTTGTCTTTTGTTGTATTTGGATTTTTTTAGGCTTCCCATTCAATGCATCAGCTCCTGGAGATGATTGAGTTGCCTCGTAAATATTGCAGACTTTATTTCATGACTTTGCGTGGCTGTGAAAGAGCAAAATGTTGGTTTTGGCATGTTCCTGATCAAGGGGATGAAAAGGTGAGGAGATCTGTTGAAGAAAGGAAAACTTTAAGTGAGAACACATTCTTTAGAAACAAAAGAAAAAATCTTCTGTATTCATTTATGTATTGAGAGTGAGTTAATTTCAGAGACTGATGAAACAGAAAGCTTCCAGAAAGTTTTCTTGTCAGGATCTCTCTACAATTCTTTAAAACTCTTATCCTAGAAAGACGGTGGAATTCTGAATGTACAGAGTTTTTAAGAGAGGCAGTATCAGCAAAGGGTGAAAAATTAGGTTACAGAGTAGTAGAGTTGGAAGACTGATACATTTCCATCCCAAGCATCAGAGACCTATAGGCAGTTTCAGGCTTGGCATGTGTTCTTAAAGTCAAGCCATTTATGGTATGTTACTTACTACAAGTTTTGTGTAACAAGAGCTTTCTATTCATAGATGCTCCAGTCTCCTAATATGTTGGCTATTTTAGTCATATTTGCATGCAACTCTGCTTCATCTGTACAATTATCACCCAGTGCATATTCAAATGTAGATGATGCAGTGGAGTTATGTGGTCCTAATAAAATGTGGGTATGTGGTGGGAACAAAACCTTTTTGAAAGTAATTCATTTACTTATATTTACATACCAGAGATGGTACCCATGGTTAACCAGCATTCTGTATCAAAAGCATTGCCTGGAACAGTATTTCAGTTCTGGCAACTGAAAGCATGGAGCCATCAAGCCTTACTGTTTGCAAAGAAACCTGTGTTGTGGAGGGACATGTCAACGAGTCGTTCTGTGAAGAGCAAACTTTTAACAGGCATCAAAGTTGTTTATTTTTAAGAGGCTACCTAAATAAAAATGTCCTTGCAGCATATGTTAAATGTCTCTGCATTATATGGTAGGTGATTTGCAGAGGTAGGGACTCTTTGCAGAGAGGAAAAGGACATCTCACTGTGGTACGAATGGATGAACCTGCTGTGATTTTGGTGAAGTTTATACATTTCTGATGGTTCTGTTAGCAAAAGCCTATTTTGGACAATTACTAGAACATACCACTGAAAAAATATCTTCCTGAAATTTTTGCCACAGTAATGTGTCTGCAGCAGAAGTTAGTATTAACTGAAAGAAGTGTGCTGTTTGCATCAGTGATGCCAAGTCTGCGACCATTAAAACAGTGTTTTCAACACTTGATTCTGAAACATTGCCTCAAGTGTTTTGTAGTCGTATTATTTTACAGCTTCCAAGCTGTTGTTGCTGAAAAGTTGCTTGAAGTAATGTCAGATTCTGAATTAAGCAGCAAATGTCAGATATATCAGGAGTTAACCACAAAATGCTTATCTAGAAGTCAAAAACACCTTTTTCATCAACAGCTTTGCTGCATGCTAGTGATTACACATCCTCAGCTTTAATAGAAGTTTTTGTAAGAAAGTTTGTGCTCCCTGTATCACAATTCCAAGTCATGGTCTTCATTTTGACAGGCTGACAACTGATCTAGTGATTCTGGAACTCTCTGAGTGACTGCATAAAACAGTTTCTGAATCGGGTATAAAACTGCTTTTCTAATAATGGACAAAGTAGGTGTATTTTCAGACCATTCAAGAAAGAAGATAATGGTCTGCAATACTTATCAGAACAGCACAAGACAAGCTAATTGTTGTGTCATATAATAAGATTTTGGAATTGTCTGTCTCAAACTGAGACGTAAGTGGTTACATGAGTCACTTAGAAGCAGGCAGTACCCAGACTTGGCCTTATCAGCACTTACAAAGTTTATTTCTTAGCTTTTATCTTATGGTATGAGTTACGATAATATAATTAGGGTCAATAAGTAAGAAATTACAGAATTGCAAAAGAGATAGTTGCTTACTATATTACTGTTGCTGGTATATTCCTAGCAGAAACTGATAGAGCCAAATATTTTAAAAGAAAAATAGCATCCAACCGAGCTCAAACATCCCTCCATATCTTAAATGTACCGTGCTAGAATTTAAAAGATAACTTGCCAGTTTTATTAATATTTCTCTCTTCATTTTTATGTTTTGGAAAAGAGGGGTTTTTTTTTTTTTCAGCTGCTTTAGAAGCCCTTTGAAATCTTGCATAACACTCTTAAGAAATGGTATTTTTTAGACTAATTCTTTACTCAGCTGTAGGAAAGTAAAAGCTTTCACATTCTTCAAAGATGAAGATCTAAACTCTCTCCCTAGAACTATTACAAGGCCCTTCCCTGTGGTGTTGCCTGCAATACAGCACCCCAGCACACTTACTGTGCTGCCCACGGAGCTTAGCCAGGCACCACGTTGCATTTATTTGCGTGTGTTTTAAAACTGTCCATTGAAAACTGATAATAGTTCAAATACCTCATGGTGGCACCAAAGTTCTTAAATGGAAGATATGTAAAACAGCAACAAAGAAATTTTATGGCCTCTCTATGAGGAAACTAATGTCTTCTTAGCTGTTACGCAGTTAAGAGTTATGCAGTTCTGCAGGCTGGTAGTCCACGTGCACAGAACTGTCTTTTTTTCAGTGATGGTCATTGCCATCGTGTTGGGAAGAGGAATGTCTTTCCCCATAATGAAAACTGCCCATGTTCTGTTAAGTAGCTGGTGGATGCTGCATAACCTAAGATGCTAGGATTTAATACTCAGTTGTGATTTATCATACCACATGACAGTGATTTAATACACTCTGAAATCAGCATCTACGTGACCTCAGCAAGTTCTACAAGCTACCAGTTTTACTTATTTAAAGTTGTCTTTAAGTTCACTTAATGGCATCACTTTTGTATTAGGCAGTAGTAAACAAAATTATTAAGACTGTGTTTTAAGGAATTTCCCAAAGAGAAGGGAGTCTTGATAACTAGGTATGGACATCTGTTCTCTTTCCAAGAATGGCTGTCTTTCTGAGTGTTCACAGCTGTGTTCATCCTGTCCATCAGCAATTATAGGAAGTAAGGCTGGAAAATCTTGATCACTTAATGTTAGAAAGGACATATGAAACTGAAAAATTATTGCTTTGGATATCTGATGCCTTTTGGAGAGCCTGTAAGTGTAGAGTGATGGTATATTCCACTTCTGGGGTTTTCAGATGACTCAAGCTCAAACAGCTTCAATAGTTGTAGGCATTTACAGAAAGCTCTTAACTAGAACTACTTCTTAAAAATACAACAAAAATTGCTTGTTGGTTTGTTGTCCAGGTAGCTAGAGGAGTCTCATTGCAGGTTAAAATTTTGTTAGTAAAAGAAGAGTATTTTTGACTGGAAGCTTAAAATGGCAAATTGGGAAATCAGGAGTACTGATGTGGTCTGATCAACTCAGCAATATTGTCATCAGTTAAGGTTAGGAATATTATGAAGGAATGCAAGAATTATAGGGAATGCAAGAATATATAGAAGTATTTCTTCTTCATGTTTCAGTAGTGTGTTATTTGGCAGTATGAGTGTCTTCATTACTAGCACTTAATGGAGGGAAAATTTATCTTTTTGGAGGAAAAAAGGCACCCCGCCTACTTCTTTTTTTCTAACCTAATTATTGGAAGTGGCATGGACTTCTTCCTTAAATTTTATTCCTCTCATTTCATAAAAGAGATTAAAGTAGATTCAGTAGCTGCCTATCTCTTCTCATAAGACGTCTTAAGCTTGTCGGTTGAGGTCTTTACTGTAAATCTCTCGTGCTTCTAGTGTGACTGGTCCAACCAGTGGAAAAAAAAAGTCTCTGTAGAGTGTGTGGCAAATCATTGATTTCTCTCTTAAAGCACGTGTAGGGGCCTCGACTGGAGCCGTAGCCCTGAGGGAGGACGCGGCTCTGCAGGGCTCGGGCTCGGAGCATGGTGCCACGTGGGCAGCGGGCAGCTGATGTCCTGATGTCCCTGCCTGCACGTGCAGGAGAGCTTCGGCTGGGGACTTGGGCCAGCAAGTAAAGGGGCCGTGAGGGGAAGGCAGCAGGCTGTGCATCCGTGTGAGAAATGGCACAGATTAATGTGGCCTCCTCTGAGGCCCTGCAACACGAGACTGAAGCCCCACATGCACCAGGAGAGGAGTCTGTGCCTGTCAGGTTGGGAAGTGGAGGCTTCCATGATGGCACAGACTGGGAAGCTCCTGCTCCGCCTGCAAATTTGCAGCTGCAGAGTGGACCCAGAGTCTGGCAACTCCTTGTGGCTCCTCCTTTGAGCTCCTGGCAGTGAAGGGCTGCAGCGTGGGCTTCCCCCCTAGGAAATATCAGAGTCTGTTCTGAAAAGGTTCATACGTTTTGGTGCTTCTTCCTATAGCCTCAGCACCTTGTTCATTTACTGGGGTAGAACTCTGGTGTACCAGCTAGTGAGATGCTTGTATAAAATGCATATCCATTATTTTAGCATTTTCATTAAATTATGGTGTTAAATCACTTGTGGCATGAACTAGTTAGGTTCATGGAGCAGGGTGGTTTACCTTTTGGAAATGGAAAATTTGTCTCTTTATTAACATAGAGGGAATGTTGAGCTCTTCTACTGGCACTACAGTACTTACCAATTTAAAAAATAGTATTTTTTTTCCCAAAGTAGTTCCAAGTACTATTTTTTATGTTGTTTGTTTGTTCCTTTTCTGAAAGTTAATGTCTGTTTTGGAGTAATTCCACCCAGGAAACATTATCCTCACCTGCTTTGCGTTTTTGTTTGCTAGAAGATTCTTTCCTGTCACAATTCAGAGCCAGGTTGAGACAAAGTTCCCTATTGCAAATTTATTTTTTAAACTCTTTACATGTGCCCTCATCCTAAACCTTTTGTAATTAACTAGAATTTAGAGACTTACGTTTTTACATGGTCCGTAGATTTAATTGCAGTTTTTATAAATTGAAACAATTAAATCAACGTAAGCTTGCTAGAAGCCGGAAATGAAGCACACAATTAGATTTTTTTTATGCATACAATGTAACTTGTCCCAAATTGTTTTACAACTGGATTTTCCAAGCAATTTCACTAAAACTTGGAACAGTCGTAGCTCCAGATGCAATCTTGGCTTTTTTGGGAGTCCGTCCAAAGGAGGAGGAAAACAGACTCCAAAAGAGAGCAAATTAATTTACATAGTGTAAGCATGCACTGAAGTTTGTTTTGGAAATGCCCTCAGCCACCTGGGAAACAGATTTGGATTGAATGAGTTCACAGACAAAACCAGCCACACTTCTATTAGTGATGAAAGGTTCCATGTGATTTGCTGCAAGGAGCGTCTCAAACCACCGTTCAGGGACACAATGGTACTGTTCAAAACAAAGCCCACCTTTGTTTATAATCTGCATACCTAACTACAGAATTTTCGTTGTTTGACTTGGTGATCTGAACAGGCTGTTGGTCAGTAATTTTTCAGTAGTTCAAGCTATGAGATTTTTTCTCGTGTGCCGTTAATAAGTAGTTTTGGGGGAAGATACAGCATTAGTAACTTTATTTCTGGGTGATTATCTAACTCTTAAGTTGAGGCATTTATGTATTTTTTTCATCACATTTTCACTTGTACACTTTCTCTGAATGTTTGCTCACAACCTGTCATGTTTATACTAGTGACAAGTAATTTTATTTTCATTTTCCTTTTTTGTTTATTCTGAGTGTATACTTAAACATGCAGGAAGCTGTGATCCTACCAGATATTGCCCAAAAATGCCATCTATATTTTTTTTTTTAACTCTATCAGTTTGCTGTGCTTTACCAGTGCCTTTGCCTATTGACTCAACTATGTATAAGTAAAATAATCAGGAGCAGTGTAAAACTTATTTTCCTTACAGAACCTGTGTTTGTGGATTGCTCTATTGTTTGACTGTAGCATAAACTGAGGTCATGTTTTACTGATCTTTTTTCTCTTTCTAGATATGCATGGCAGTACTTCGGACATACATTACAATTAATGAATTAGGCCTTCTACAGCGTGCAAGTATGTGATACAGTGGTAGCTCGTGATGCCTGTCTCACAGCTTATCTAAACCATTACATACAGAAGCAGTCTGGAGAGTAATGGTGACACTAACAGCAAATAAGAAGCTGTAATTTAAAGGGAGTATATCCAATCCACTTGTTCCCATGGTGCAACTCTTGTTCAGATTGGGAGTTTAGCAATGCAGTTAATTCAGGAGGTTGTTGTAGATCTTATTCCAAAACAGAATTCCCTGAGCTAGGATGGAACTAGCTTGGAGATTAGAGCTCAGTAACTTGAGTGGATTTTTGTAATAAAACCAGAATTTTATAAGACACTTCATAACGTTCTGATCAAACACTCTCTGTCCCAAAAGTTTAGTATTAAATTATTCCAAATAAGTGCACCCAAGCAGCCATAATGTATACCAGACAGCCATTCTCATAATCAGTGTGAACAATCAATTCACATCCATTGATTATTAGAATGGATGTGAAGCCATTGCAATGTGGGAGTCAGTTGCACCCTGTTTATTAATGTTGCCTTGTGCTGTAACACAGACAACACCAAGTACCTGCAGGCTGTCAAGTACCTGTCTATCAAGGCTAGCACAGGAACAGCTTTCTAGATCATCTGCCTGGGTATAACTGCAATGTCTGATGCTTCACAGCTGGAAAGGACTCACTGGCTTAATGTACTACCAGTTGGTTCCTTTTATCCATTTATCTTTATTTATCCATTTATCCCAGTCCTATAATATGCTGGTTAATTGAGAATTGTTTTACTGCTTTTAAAATTCAAGGAAACAACTTGCTTAAATGACTAATAATCAATTATCTTGAAGTGAAATGATTTTAATTACTTTTTTCAGCACAAATATTTATAAAGTATTACAGAGAAGTTATGCCTGGCGTGGATTTTGCTTCACAAGTCCTGAACGATCTTCTCATTTCTTTACTCAAGAACTGTTTGTTTCAAGAAGTATTTCAGATATTGAATGTTACTCTACTGATTAATATGCTGGTAAGTGACTTTGGAATATTTTGAAAAACACTTTTATCCATAGTATCCTACCTTTCTAGTATTATGTCATTTGAGGTAATATTTGGTTTTACTTTGGCACCCAGTTTCTATGAGGAAAATAAAAGCAGTTCGTAAGTTGTATAGTAAAAACTGTAAGCTCTCTAATTGAATACAGTTATAAAACTAATTCTGCTTTTTTTTTCTGAATTAGCCTGCTGTTGATGTTCTTCTGAAAATTTTTGAGTACATGGCATCTTTGAATGTAAAAGATGCTGTGCCTGCATTAATCAGTACGTTTTGTAAGGTATGAAATTAATTATACTACCATTTGTTGAAATTTCTGAAATGTCTTCTCTTGCTTTAAAACAACTCAAATGTATCATTTTATGATTCTCTGAATAGGTTTCTATTTAAAGTTTCACCGTGGTTAGCTGAATTTGTGGTATAGGCTTTCATTTACCCCCTAGTTTTTGACTGAGATTTTGTGACGTATTTTTCCTACTGATGTTTGCCACTTGCCTCTGAAAATATTTAAGTGATGCCAATTTTTTGAGTGCTTACTTTTCTTCCGCCTGTTCGATATTACAGCTTGTTGATGCTGGTATGTTTCTTGAGTTTGAACATTTCAACTTCATTATTAAGTTCCTTCACCAATTGCAAGTTTCCAGTCAGGAAATAAATACTATTCTGAACATAAAATCCAGGTATGTTTTCAAGGAGCTATTTTATAACTGAATTAATCTAGTTCTTTTTCAGGTTCTATTTCAGAAGTTTATAGAAAGACTTAAAAAGCCAATTAGAAAATGCAAACTTAGTCTGGATGGAAATGGATGTGGTTCTGTCTTATCATGCTTAATTGTGCTCTGAAGATGAGTATGAAAAAAGCTAATTATAACTGCAGTCAGAATCCAAATACTCTATCGTTTATGTTTGAAATATTTTATCTTTGAAACACGTTAAACTGGGATCACTTTAAAATACAATCTAGCGCTGTTCCCAGGTGTACTGCAAGTTTGTATGACTACAGTCAAATCAGAGATGTTATGGTTTAATACATATCTTAGGTCTGTGTAAACAAGCAGTGCTTCTGCAGTAAATAGCCCTGGTAAGCAATAGGATGCCTAGCTCTAATCTGAAGTAGCGTCCTAGCCTCACTTATGGTGAGGCTGCATAAATGCTTGTAGCAGCACAAGTGGCAGGAAAGTGATTTGTGTTTCCAGTGTTGCTGGATGATGCTGGAAAAGTGTGAAACCGCAGCCTGGTGAATCTCTTCCCAAAGTGTTGGCATCTTTCTGACACTTACAAGAAAATGAGTCACCCTGCGGCGTCATCTATTTCATGTAAAATTGAAAAACTAACTTTGCTGTTCATAAAGCAAGTTTTGGTTCTTAGAGAATCCAAACATGTAACATGAATAGCATTAAGTACAAAGTAATCCCTTTTCAAGAGAAAACCCTAAGGATTTGCTACTCTTCATAGTGGTCCCATAAAGAGAACACTTATCATCCATGTCTATGAGTGTTTTAAGTGCAGCTTAACATACCTTTTGCAAATAATTTGATCACTTATCTATTTCACAAGGAAATGACCCATTCCAGATGTCCAGTATGTATGCCTTTTTATCATAAACTGAGAAGCAGTCTGTGTCTGCTAAGACAGAGCAGCTCTGCTATTACCACTACATGTTATAATTCATCCATAAATATTGGGTGAATCCATACTGGATAAGTAATCCATCCAGTAAGTATCGCTACATGATCACATCGCACTGGTAGCTCTGTTCATTCTTCCAGTGGCAGCAATAGCAGAACTAAACATCATGCTACGAGGTATTAGAAGCGGAGTGTCACCATTTCATGTAACCAACACTTTCATTTGATGGTAAAATAATATTTTTTTTTTTCTTCATTGAAGATTTCAGGAAAAACACTTTAAAAAGAACTGGCACTTTGACTTCAGTTTGGCAATGACTGAAATTCAGGTACTGTGTGCATTCTTTAAAGCCTTTGGGGATCCTTTAGTTGGTTGAATCTCATGGGGTTTTTTTTAAATTGACAGAAAATAGCAATTTCGATGTCATTTTTTATTATAAACACGTACATGGCCTTAGTCCTGGAACTTGTAGAGAAGTTAACACCAGAGTTACAAGTATTTGACCAGGAGCACATTCTTCACCTCTATTAACAGGAAGATTCAAGTTAACTTGAACCCAGTGAAACAAAGTAGGGTTGATGATGCTAATAAAATTCGAACAAGCTAGATAAAAGGTATCATAATATGAACAAAAGAATATGAAATTCTGAGATTTAATCATAGAATTTTAAGAAATGTCTTTATTTGGTTATAATCTCTCTGGATTAACTGATCTAGATGCCATGATCTGTTCTTTTAAGGATAATCCACTGAGGGATCATCAGACATCAGAGCACATTCGTTACTGTTACAGAAGATAGATTATAGACTAACTGCTTTTTACTTACTGCTTTAAGTCTATTCCAGGTCCATTTCTACAATTCCAATACATTTTTTGGGCTTTCTGAAGAAGTAAAAGCTTATGTTTATCCATTGCCTTCTTCACAGCATTGCAAGGAAAAAGGTGATTGGACCAAGTTGGGAAATTTGTATGTCAGTTTGAGAGCTGGCCATGAACATTTTGGTGATCTTAAGAAACTGTCATTGTTTATTGCTGAAATACTAAGCAGAGATTCTGAGGAAGAAAGACCAGGAGTTCCTTTTTGTGATTTTGCTGATGCAGGTAAAATTAAGATGCAATAAACACTATATTGTTCACCTTTACTCTTTGTCAAGTTTTTGAAAGAAGAAAAAAACAAAAATTCATGCTGTTTTCTTGGCATATCCTATGATAGAATTCCTCTAGTTAAAAATGCGATCAACTGAAATGCTCAGTGGACACCATTTTCTAGTCATAGTAAAATTCCCCGTGCTCATGCTTAAAAAGTCAGAGATACTAAATGGGTTTCATCACCTGTTCCAAAAGATGGATGCTTGAGCTTTGTCAGATTGAGAAGAGAAGCCAGGGTTGATGATTTATTTATGAGAATGTCCTGTTCTCAGGACAAAGACAAGTATATTTTAATATACTCATCTGAAGTGCCTCATTCTAATTTCTAATTTTCCAATAGCAGAAATGAAGTTAGAAAATAGGGTTTTGAATACAACTAGATGTATTTGTACAGATAAAAACATATTTAATTGGAATCACATCTTATGCATTTCACTGGACTTTCTTTTAGTAATTTGGACTTTCAGAATCATTTAATCCTGTAAAGAACCAAGAACAAGAACCAAGAACTACTGCAAGGGCTGCAGGCACAAACCTTTGCAAGTTCACTTTACAAATAATTTTGTTGTTACGTTATGCTATTATATGTTCAAGCATCTTACTGTTATAGATGAACTGAGTAATTTGAAATGTTCTTTGAATAAATTGATTGTACTTTGTGTTAAAAGATAAGGAAACCTAATTCAGTGCCAAATAGTTTAGAAAATATATAGAAGATTTTTACAGGACTCTTGTTTCTAAAGTGTGTAATTTCTTTAGAACTACTTTTACATGTAAAACCAAAGTAATTTTTTTTTCCCTTCTAGTAATAAAAAATTCACAAAGTAATGAAGCAGACAGAATTTTCATTGGAAGAGCTGGAATAAGTGTAATGTATTCTTATCACAAAGTTCTGCAGTGGATAAAGGTACACTGGACTCTAGCAACTCTGTTTAGGAGACTGTGTCAGTGCTTTTCTAGATGTTAAACCATGTTCCTCTGGATGAGTGGCTGGCTCTGCCATCTGTCTCACCAGCCTTAGCCCTCCTCAGCTATCCAGCTGGATTAAAGCCTTTTGGGGGCCTTCTGAGCAGTACCATTCTGCATACGTCTCTTGCTTGTTTTGTTAACTAGGGTGGAGGGAGTTGCTTGTGAGAATGAATGTGCTTTTATTTTTTGTATCTTGTGTAATTATGGCTTTCCTATGAGTAAAATACACACCGTTTGTGGTAGGTGTTTTCCTTGTGGTGGTATCATGACATTCATGCTGCCTGGTAGCATGAAGGCTCCAATACAAGGCACAGTAAGGAGTGAACTTCTGTCTGGATGGAGCTCACCATGACTTTGCTTCTCAACCTAGGAACTTAATTAGTCTTCTGATCCAAGGATGGATCTGGGCTAACAGACACTTCTTCCTGAGATTCTGGGGCCAGCTGTTTATGCGGTTATTTCCCACCACTGTCTCTTTCTTCCATCAATACTTCTGTGTGCAGAGACCTCCCAACTCGGAATATCTGAGGAAGACTGAGAGCCCTTTCCTGCATTGATGCCTCTGAACCTGGTGTCAGGTGGAAGGGTTTAAGGCAAGGAATACAAAGGGGAGGCAAAGCAAGGTACCCCTGTAGCTGCTGAGCAGTTTATTCTCAAGACGTCACTGAAAATGCTTTTCCTCTTGGGAAGCTAGGGCTTTCTCATTTCACACCTCATGCCAGATTTGGACCTAGGAGTCTTGTGAGTCTTGCAGGGACTTAAATATCATAAAGAAATACTGCTTATAATCTTTCTCTTGCTATCAAATAATGCAAAGAGTCAAGGTATAAAGATTAGACCTTTCACTGGATATTTACACTCTTCAGTCCTCATCAAAAGTTCGGAAGTTCATAACATCGTAAGTTCACTGCAGCAAGGGCTGTTCCACTGGTGAGTGTTCCTTCCTGTAAGGAAGCAGTCTAGAGTTCACCAGCATGGGTCGCCTGTACAACACAACAAAAAATACATACAAGTTAATGAAACTTCTCATTGTTTTGGACTGTATTTTGGCCAGAGATCTACTGTGAATTTACCTTCCTAACAATGGACTAATTAATAGTTACACTGTACTGGGGAGTTCCTCACCCCATACAATATGGTTTGCAGCATATATTTTTATGAACACAAGCAAAGAGCCTCCTGTCCCCTTTTGTCTCTTGTTTTTCTTGTAAAATAGTAGAGGGAACCCTTTTGAATTTGTAGCAAGGGATTAAGGTAGTTTTTTAATGTAAGTGTTTATAAGGAATGTGCTTCAGGACGTTTGTTATATAAAACCTGTGCCCTACTCGATCTGTTTCCAGGATCAGCCCAAGCCTCAGAGGATATCTAATAAAGATGCTCATCTCGGGGGCAGTACAGCCCTTTCGGAGCATCTTCTCTTGGATCTCAGTAGCTTTTTAGCAAGTCCCTAGGAGGCTGCAGCCCCCTCGTTCCACCTGCCACAACAGATTGTCACAGCACCATGTGGCACGAGAGGGAAGGAAAGGGGTAGATGGAAGGAAAAGTCTTTGCATTAGTGTTTTTACACTGCTGCACTAGAACTTTTTAAGCATTTTTGTTCTGCTACATTCACCTGTTAACCAGCTGGGACATTCTTGGTCACAGAAGGGTTGGTAAGTTCTTGGCACCAAGGGCTTAGTGCTCACGTGTGCCGGTCTAAGAGCTTAGGTGGGCCTGAGTTCTGACTCTCCTCAGCAGAGAGAGTATTCAGTGTCTGCAGGGAAATGCTGCTGCACACTTGCCTGTTTTCCACATCGATTTTAATGGGCATCCTAATATTTGGGCTCTAGGACCTCTGATAATCCAAGGACGTTCCTCCGTGTTGTCCTAGTGTTAGGGATGCAAGCTGCGAAAGATTGTTGTGTCTCTCTTGTATAAAAGAGGTTATTAAAAGCAGATAGTGCTTTATTTCACTTTGTTTTTCGCACATAAGAGCAAAAACAATGTCATGCCTTCATTGGGAATATTGTGTTCAGTGTCAAATCCACCCCTCAGCAAGCTGTTCATCAAGATCCTCAAATCACATTGCGTGCCACCTGTGTCCAGAATACTGGAGTGTGAATGAGACAGTACTCTGCTTGATTTTTGTTGGAAACCAGCAGCAATTCCCGAAATTATCTGCCTCAGGGATGAGCTAGGACTGTCATTCCTACCTCTCTCCAACTGGATTCACTCTATGGCTAGTTTCAGATAAGTCTGAAAAGCGGGAAGCTCAGTCCTTCACTTATCTTATTTTCTGCACCGCTTTTTGGAAGTAGCAAGATAGGGGATCACCCCTAACCACAGGATTAAAGATAAGGTGAAGGATTGCCTTGCTGCTGCAAATGAAGTAATTGTGGGTTTAGGACCTGTTTAGTGCCTTTTCTAAGGAATATTCCTGTGCTGGGAACTATTAAACTTCTTTTTGTATCTGCAGAGTTAAAAAAAAAAATACAATTTCATATTTAGTTATTAAAATTCTTGCTACTTAGGTCTTTTTGCTTTCCCCCTCAGCTTGGGAAATGTAGCTAAACTGTATTTTGTGTAATTATATGTTGTGCTAGCCAATGTTATAATTTGCTCTGACCCTCTTTCCTCTCTCTTTTTCCTGCTAGGGAAGGAAGGTTTTGGATAAAATGCATGAGCTGAAGATTTACTTCACAGTCTTGAAAGGACTTATTGGACCAGAAAAGTCAGCATCAAGATGTCAAATTGTAAATACTGCTGCAGAATTTTTCCTTAAAACTGGAAGTTTAGATGGAGCAACATGGGTACTGAGAGGTAAGTGTAAAGGACTGAGTTTTGACATTTAGATTTGTACTGTTCCCTCGTATGAAAGAATGGAGCTAATAGTTAAAAACTGGTTTATGTTATTAAATTTATTTATTAAGACAGCAAAAATGTAATCCATCTTTCCAGTTAGCATTCTTCTTGATGTGTAAGAAATACTCTGACTAGTACCAGAATCTTTTTCAAAAACACTGCACAGTGTTTTTGAAACACTACTAGCTAAACTGTTTTATTCAATAACCTGCAATAAAAGGGGAAGGGTACAGCAGGGAAAGTGAGCCTGCCCCATGCAGGGGGATTTCCTTTAAGTGCAGGTGAAATTCAGCATCACCAAATCTTCCAGCTGGAGTCAGTGCAGAGTTTCTTTATTCTTCCCAGTAGCTATACATCAGCAATTTAACTTTGGAATATTAAATTATTTCTGTCATAAAATAACCCATGATTACATGTTTTGTGGAATTCTCCTAACCTGATGAGAAGAAGAGAGGAAACTTGGAAGTATGCACAAAAATAAAAAGTGTTCTCATACAGTGCAAACCACTGTGAGAATCACTACCATGATGCTTAAAGATGGGGCTATTCAAAATACGAAGGTTTGGGGCAGGTCTGTCCAAGAAGTGCTTGTGATAAGCAATTCTTAATAACTAGAATCGTGCTTCATGTGAAACTCCGAAATCTGTTTTCTAGTACATTTTATAATATATTTTTAGTGGCCAAAAGTCAGGAGTGAGCAGCCGTTTCAGTTAATAGAAGTAACGCTGCAGTGTTCTTTGCCGCAGAGTCAGAGTGGATCACAAATGCACCAGTGTGGCCCTGTGGCAAAACGGACATTCTCCATCGACATAATCTCTTGCGCTCCCTGGTGCACCAGTACTTGAGTAAGAGCTTATACAGGCAGGCATTTGAAGTTCTGCAGAACCTACCAGGCTTCCAAAATTGTTCTGGTAAGTAAAGAAAGGTCATGTGGTAAGAGCTAAGAATTTAATAGGTGATTCTGTACTGCTCCTTTCCTTTTACTCCCTATTTCCTGGTAAAATCTTTTGAGGCTGGGTTTTTCATATGTCCATTTTCTTGCAAAGAATGCAGATGTCAAAGTGCCTACTGTACTCTGCCACTCTTACTAATTAAGTCATTAATGCAATATACATGCACACTCAAACAACTTAGTCTCCACTGCTTAGTCTCCACTGAAGAAACCTCCCTTGACTCACATGGATAGGGCTCAGTCCTATTATCCATGTGCAGTCTTAGGTATAATAGGAGAACCTGATTGGAACACTTGTTGGTACCTCGAGGATCCTAAAACATGTTCTGCCATGAGATGGATGTTAGGCTGCTGAGTCCTGCCTAGAGGGCAGTGCAGAGCATGGGCCAAAGCAGAACTTCTGGCACCAAGGTGACTTTGTTGGTGCCAGTGTAGGGAGTCTGAGACACCAGGTAAAGATTGTATTCTTAGCCTTGGGTGGGAAATGTATTTTTATCTGATCATACTGTTTTCAGCAGGAAGTTATGATGTGGACTTTTAACAATTCATCTTTCCCAACATAAGTGAAATGGGTATAACTGTGTGAAAAGACCTGAAGCATCTTTATCGTAAGTAATCGCAACCTTATGCCCTTTTGCTCATGGAAGCAAGAGTCCTTATTTAGGTGCTGATGCCAACATTGGGAAGCCACTCTTCAATTAGACTTGTTTTCGATTTGAGTTCCAGAATTTACATTCTTCATTTAATTTCAGATGCTGTAGATGTTCCCTGGTACAGCCGCCTTTTTAACAAGCTGATAAATGCCTGCTTTGAGAGCAAGAACCTGGGGATCTCATCTTCTGCAATAGACTTCATGCTTTCAAAAAATATACCTGTTGATTTTTTTCTGCTTAGAGGATTAATCACAAGTTTGGGAAGAAGTTGTTTGTGGAATAAAGCTAGGACCTATTACAAGAGTAAGTTGCTTTTTAAACACTCTCCTTTGCCTATGCTCTTTGGACAGCTTACGGTCACAAAAGCTCAATGTGTTGGAGAGAAAGAGGTAAGTGTGTACTTTATAAGGAGAAAACAGTATTTTTTATGCCACTATCCACAATTCATTTCTTACCAGAATGTTTATTAGGAAACAGCTACAATTGAAATGAATAATCGATGAAGAATACCAGGTGTGAAGGAAATACTGCTCTCATAAAGTTAATTTTTCATTTTCATAATGTCCAAATGTGATTGCTGACAAATTTTAAAAGGGTGTTATCTTCACACTTTCATTTAGGCAGACTGTCCTTATACTCCTGTTTGGGGGTATAACTGTCATTGATAATATCCGTTGATGAAAATAACATTTTACAACATTTTATTATGAGATGGAGTATTTGTTGTGTCATTGATCAGGCTTTGTCACAAGTGGAATAAAGTTTAAGAATTCCTACATTATTAGGATTTTTTGTCTATTTTTTTTCTACATTCTAAGCTACATGGATACAGATCTATGTTCGGCACTGATAACGCTTATTTCTTACATTTCTGCATTTACTGTCAGGTGCTTTATCATTGGGTTGCTACCCACTGCTGCAGGGAAATACATATCACAAACTTCTGCCAATCCCTTCTTACCTGTCTGAAGTGGAGATGCTGCTGGCCATTGAAATATTCCTTGTTTCAAATGCTAGTGATGTTCAAAGTCCAGGTGCTACCAGCCAGACTCTTCAAATCATACTGAAAAGGTTTGTTGAAAAATACATACCACTTCCTTTTTATCAATATGTTCATATAATATGCTGTTGGCTGTGAAAGAGATTCCTTGTTTTAAAAAAATAACTCTGGTTATACAGTAATAAACACATTCTTTTTTGAATTCTTGTATGTATTATCACAACTGCCAGCGGAAAAATAGCTGTTCCAGACTGATACTGGACTGGCTACTCTAACTGAATGGATCTAGCATATAAAGAGATTATTTTCTAAACCAGGGTAGTTTATATTTAAATGTATGGATTCCTTTGTTGTGATTAAGCAGAGGAGTAGAAGAGTAGAGTGAAAATGTTAATCCTTTTGAAAAGCAAATCTAACATTGCTTGGATGTTCTTTGGAGACAGACAAATAAAATGGAAGCCATTTTATTTTATTCTGTTTATAGGGGATACCTCAGTATCAAAATTTCTTATGTGATTTCCCCCTCACTATGAGACTGAATACCTGCAGATAAGAGTTCTTTTCTTTACCCCTCTTATTCAGAAAGTAGCAACCACTGACACTAGATTACACCAATTTCTCAAGACTCATTTTGTCTGAGATTTGATGACTCAGCATTAGAATGTGACACTGCATAGAAAAGCTGGGTTTGTTAGGAAATGTGAACAGAGACCTCTCAGACTGAATACTGTGTGTTGTCCTTCCCCCACCCTTCCCAAGGAATACATCTCTCAGTTTTCCTTTTTGACAAACAAGAAGATTTTTCTCTCTTTCGTCTTTTTGCAATATTGTGCCCCAAAGACACCTGTTTTTTTTTTTTTTTTCTGTAAGCTTTTCTGCTGTTATTTAGGAGAATATTCTTTTAATCAACTTTTAATCAACTTTAATCAACAAATAGTCTTAAAAATAAGAAAAAAAATACATCATACTGCAGTTCAATTTCTTATCTGTCAAATTAGCTGAAGAAAATATCATGTCTCATCCCCCCAAAATTAAGGCAAATATTTTAAAAAATATGTTGTTCTTTGGGACAGCACTATTTTCAAAATAAATTCATCGTATTTTAAGTTCAGTATCATACTATTTTTCTCCTGCAAGTAAGATATGCATTTCTCATTTTGTAGGATATAATGATTATTTTGACTTGACATAATCAAACAGCATTCCAAATGTGAATTTAAGACTATTTGTTGATTAAAAGAAGTTCTCGGCAACACTGGATAGCAGTTTCGGGTGTATGTTATTGCACTGCTGTCTGGTTAAAGACTCATGTCCTGATCGTGCAAAAACATAGACGTGTCATTAGCACATCCCTACTCCAAAAGTGATCACATTCCAAAAATGAATAATCATTTTGGATTCAAGCATTAACATAAACTTCTGCAATACCCACTTCATAAAATGTTTACCTTCCTTTACTGAATTTTCCAGCACTGAACTGAGTGTTTCTCGATGAAGTGCACTGCAGTGAATATTGCAGACCTGCTTTGCATTGGCATTAAATCCGATTATTTTCCAGTACTGTGAAGTATGTTTGAGAGATCACTTTTTCTAATTTTTAATTCTTCAGAATAATCAGCTAAAAATTGTCTAGAAATTAACATTATCTTAATTGAAGTGAACATGATATATCATTTTAAAGGTTTTTATAGTCTGTTGCTTGTGTAAAGCACCATGCAAGTAACACAGAGCCTGTATGCTACATAATCTTTTATTTGTGAAAAATCTCTTACAGATGTGACGATCCAAAAGGGCAGAATAAAGATGACTATCAAACAGCAGTGGAGCGACTGATCCTAGCTGCTCGCTTATCAGATCCAAAGCTTTTTCTTAAGCATATGACAATGAATGTTAATATGGAAGAAGTTTACAGCTTGGATCTTACATCTGCCCTAAAATGGCTGCAGGAGAATATGAAATGGGCTGGAAGGGTCTGGCTTTTTCAGTAGTCATTGATTAGTAAAGACTTTTTCTTTTTTTCTAATGGTTAAAGTAATCATTGCTGAAAACAATATAAATCAATAAAGACAGTTCCCACTGTGTTCAGACTGTGCCTTACTGATTAACAGCAAGGCTTCAAATCTCAAGTTGTGTTTAAATGTTGATGCTGATGATAATGCAGATAGTAGCACAAAAATAGAACATCTTTTTCTTTTTCCAAGATGCAGTTGTCCAGATACAGATTGTCACATCAGCTTACATAGATGTCTTTAATGGTATCATTAGATGACAAAAAAACTGTAGCCCGCTAAATTTCCCTTTTTATGGAGAATATAGCATTAACTGCTATTCCTGTTCCAGAAGCTGACTGGTCTGTCTAGTGTTCTTGAGTGAGAGGTTTTCCACCTTGCTCTGGAACCTGGAGAAATAATATTTGCTTCCTTTAATTTTCCTCACAGCCCATTGTGAGGATGTTGTCATGTGTTGCGCCCCTTCTCAGACTTTCATTCTCTTACTCCAAGAAAACACTCAGAACAAAAGAACTCCAAAAGAAACCTCTGAAAGTGAGACATGCCTGACTTAGACAACAGGACACCTTCCTTCACAGAGCTGAGCCAGTCCATGCACAGAGGTCAGAGTGCAAGGAGTCGCTGTGTCTTGATGAGAGTTCAGGTACTGCTTCACATTTTTGTATTTATCTCCCCTTCCACTGAAAAGGAGAAGTTTCTCTTCCCTTTCACAGTCCTCCTGGAGAGATAGCTTCTACCTTTGCATCTCTGGCATTACCACTGTTTAGTTTTGGTCAGCTGCATGATGCGATGGAAACTTGTGGCAGCCTTTTCCTTTTGCCTGCTTCTTCATGAAAACCTCTCTTCTACATGCAAGCCCTTAATCATATTTTGGGCAGTCATTTCTTAAGTTGCTCTTCATCTACCGAGCTGCAGCCCGAGTAGGTTTTTCAGGTTAGAAACTTCTTACAGAAAATCAAATTTGATACTTACCCAACAAACTCTGCACTTCTCTAATGCTCGTTGACATCTCCAGTATCAATCTTCACAAACATGATTATGACAGAGGATATGGACCTGTCTGTCTCACCAAAGGTTTTTTTTGTGCTGAGAATTTCTACTGTCTTGGGTGTGGAAGCCCATGGGTCTTTGGATTTGTTCCTTTGGCAGTGGCCCCCAATGGTGGCCTCAATCCTGAGTGCTTGAAAAATCCTCTTCTTCTCAGAGGTGGAACAGGCCTCTACTCAGTTCTAGCAGCATTACTGTGGGTGGCCTTGCTGCTTCTGAAGGCCATCGTGGTCTTAGTGCTAGATGGTTGGCAGGGAGACTGCAGGATTTTGCTGTTTTGTTTGCTCGTTTTTGTCGCTGTCGTGTTCAAGTCTGTCATTAATCCAGTTCCAGCTGGCCCATTTTTAACAACCATTGCCGTGGGTGGCACTGCATCGTCTCACTACCAGAGAGCACCGTGTGGAAGCAGAGAGCTTTCTGCTGTGTTCCTGCTCTCCTTGCTCAAAAGATTTAGCTGATACGGAATAATTTCCCTCTCAGGAGGTTATGCAAAACCACCACACTTCAAACACAAAGAATTTTCAAGGGAAGCTACTTTGATACAGCTCTTGATGCCTTTTTCAGGTTCACCCTCCAGTCAAAACCAGCAGGTCTGCAGCTGTTGGATCCCGTATCTTCAGTTGGTATCACAGTTCTACCAGTCTTTCTGGGAGCTGCTGATTAAGAGGAAGGGGTCATTTTGAAGTTGTTGACCACTAAGATCATTGCCTTCCTCCTGCCCCATCTATTTAGATAAGAACAGATACGAAAAAAAAAAAGCCCGTCTTGCCTTTTTTGAGAGTATAGTTCTTCCACGGGAATCTCTTCTTCCTTCTTAAAAAAAAAAAAAAAAAAAGACAGCTTCTGTGCTTTCAGATAGCATTTCCTTTAAAAGTAAAGCTCCTTAGCACCAAATGTCTCTTGAACAGGTAGCAGTTCAAACAGACTTTGGATTCCACTACTTGATATTCACGAAGACAGCTCTGCTGCTTGCAAGGTTTGTCAAGTCCACTGGTAGTCAGCTGCTTTTTTTCTGAGCATTTGAAAGACTGAGTAAGAAATAATCACATTTCAGTTGAGGGACGTAAAGTGATGCTCTTCCAGCATTAGCTGCAACGGCAGTTTTGGAAGGATTCAACAAAGTAGAAGTGGCAAGGTAGTCAACAGTGAGAAGCTGCGTCACGTTTGCTAATTACTTTTTATAAGATCCTTTGTAACTTAATCTTCCTTGGAATTAAACAGAAGCTATCTGAACCATAGCTAAATCCCAAATTTCTATAAGTAGTCCCAAACGTGGCTAGTAGTGTATTTTAGAGAGGCAGAAGAACAAAATTGTTAGTAATCCTTAAAACTTCAAAGCTCGGCATGTTTGAAGACAGCATTATTTATTCATTATAAGTAGTTTTGAATTTTACATAGATCATGCCCTGAAAAAAAAAAAAAAGGGATCCAAACGTTGCTCTATTTTTCAGTCAGGTGAGATGTTCACCTTGCAGCATAGCTTGGAACTGTGTACAATTTGTGCAGTGTTCTGGCTCCATCTCCTGAGTAACATCTCCACCTGATCCTCTGCTGTCTTAGTCCTGTTTTACATTAACAAGCAAAGCAAGCTCCCCACAGTGTTGCAAAGAGGTTATACGGGTGTATCTAGCTGCATCTACCAGTATATGCTGTCTCTCTATCACCACAACAAATGAGTAGGCAGTCTGAACAACAACAACAAGTCCTATACTTGACACATTTTTACTTCTGGGACTGCTTGAAATACCTTACAAATCTGGGCGTTTTGGTGTGTACCACTTCTTGAGAACCCTCTACCATTTCAATAGCAGAAATTCCCTGGACTAAACAGGCCATAACAAGTTAATAAAACTCAAGTGTTAGAATGGAAACAAGCTCAGAAAAAAAAAATGTTATGAATAAATGATACAGAAAGTAAAGTTCAGTGCAACAGAGATGATGCAGTTTTGCAATGCCAGCACTAGCAGACAATATCCATTCTCCTGTTTTTCCTAAGGTAAAGGTTACTGTTCTTTAGTTGCTGAAAAAGCTTCTGCATTTCAGATTAAATGCCTTGTTTGAAAGATTTAATTTTTCTTCGAGAAATAAAACTCACACCTTCCTCTTTACAAACAGACAAAAAGAACGTGCAGAAGATTTCCTGTCAATAGCTACATCTAGGCTAGACAAAGCAAAGTTACTTCAATGTGTTTTTAGATATGACATAACTGCCCTTTCTGTGGAAAATTTTGTTCGGTTTTCACTGATTACACGGCATGCCCTTGGAAACATTAGACTTTTGTTAGTTATGAACAGTTATTTAAAACTGAAACAGAATATTGTGGTTTGGGAAGACTTATCAAAATTTATTATGAAGCATTGATAACTTGTTTCTTTTTTTTAATCCAGCTGGAAGATGGAGGTGAGAAGCTGGCAGTAAAGGCTTGACAGTATCGTAAAGTAGTAAAAGAGCAATTAAAGGGATTATTTTGGAGGAATTGTTAAGGTGTTAATAAATGTTGCTTGTTTATTCTTTGTATGTATGAAACGTCCAAAATATCTGTGAATTGGTATTGTCATTAAATTATTTAATTTTATCCAGATCCCTATAATTAATATTAATTCTGTTGAAAGATAACAGTAAGGGCCAAGTAGACATTGTTTAATATCTAGTAAATCCTACCAGTATCTAGGTTATGGTGAAGTACATGGAGAGGTTAAGAATGGTGTGAAATCAGACAGATAATGCAGTTTTTCACCAAGAGCACACAACACAGCAAATTCTCATGAATAATCTGGCCTAAACCCTCCAGCTGTGGACGTGGCCAGGTTCCAGTTCTAACTACAGGCTGGAGTGTAAAGGTAGGCCTACCTACTGTGCTCAGTTCCCTGCAAAACTCATGTGACTGCTAGTGAGAGTGTTTACCCAAGGACAAGTAGTAAAATTAAATATCTCTAGTATAATAAACTTTTGATTACCAGTGTCTTAATAGTATGTTCTTTGGCTTAGTAAAATATGACCACAATAAGAACAATGATTATTTCACATTTTTGTCCTTTAATATTCTCTGGGTTGTTTTGTTCTGTTGTTTTGTTTTGTTTCAAATCCCAGGTCTAATTTTTTTGGTCTTAACCCACTTCTATACATCGTGATACCAATCATTTGTAAAATGATTGGTATTTCAAAAATTAATATTGAGGGTATAGGCCGGAGTGTTTCTGTGCCATGTAATGGGACTGAAGAAAGTGATCCCTCCGATACCTGTTTTTGACCATCTGCAAGCTTAGAAATGGAGTCAAAATAAAAGACAGCACGAACTGGCTCTGTTGTCACTCACTGAAAGTTTATTGCGTTATTTTAAAAAGTTTCCCTGTGTTTGGGAACAAGAGTTAGGCAAAATAGAAACAAAGTATTTAGAATTTCAGCTGAAAAAATGGAAAAAAATAGGGGGGAAAATGCTTTCTTCTGTCTCCCTTTGAAAATAGGTGCCTTATGCAAAGGAGCTGGTATCTGACAGTGTCACCTGCTGATTACCACTCCTAATTTATTTTATTGCTCATAGAGTTCACAGAACTCTCAGGTGAAATGAATGGCACACTTTTCTGTTGGATCCATTAAATTTATTATCCCATCTGCATAATTATGCAGGCAATTTGCTTACATAACTGATAGCTTCTATCGGGAGGCAAGAAACATGCTGCTTATTATGAAGATTATGCAAATCCCCGAAGGGTTTGCGGGAGCGTTAACTTGATTTAAAACTTCACTGAACTACGGATAGCTTCTAAACGTCGGCAGCCCCTTTTCTAACCTTTTCTGTCCGGGAACTTCACAGATTCTATGCAAATAACCCCAATCCCTAAATTACAGATTCACAGATTCACAGAATATTTAAGGTTGGAAGGGACCTCTACAGGTCATCTAGTCCAACCTTCCTGCTCAAGCAGGCACACCTACAGCATGTGGCACAGGGTGGCATCCAGGCGGGTTTTGAAGACCTCCAGAGTAGGAGACTCCACAACCTCCCTGGGCAGCCTGTTCCACTGCTCTGTTACCCTAACAGTAAAGAAGTTGCTCCTCACCTGGAGACGGAACTTCTTATGCTTCAGCTTGTGGCCATTACCCCTCGTCCTATCGCTGGCCACCAGTGAGAACAGCYTGTCCCYYTYCTCCCTGCATTCTCCCTTCCTGAACTTRTACATATTAATCATATCCCCTCTGAGCCKTCTCTTCTCCAGAGAAAACAGGCCCAGCTCACTCAGYCTCTCTTCATACRAGAGATGTTCCATTCCCTTAATCATCCTGGTTGCCCTTCTCTGGACCCTCTCCAGAAGCTCCACGTCCCTCCTATACTGGGGAGCCCAGAACTGCACACAGTGCTCCAGGTGCGGCCTCACCAGAGCTGAGTAGAGGGGCAGAATCACCTCCCTTGACCTGCTGGCAACACTCCTCCTGATGCAGGCCAGGATGCCATTGGCCTTCTTGGCCACGAGGGCACACTGCTCACTCATGGGTAACTTAGTGTCAACCAGGACTCCCAGGTCCCTCTCTGTGGAGCTGCTCTCCAGCAGGTCGATCCCTAATCTGTACTGATGCCTGGGGTTATTCCTCCCCAGGTGAAGGACCCTGCACTTGTCCTTATTGAGCCTCATGAGGTTCCTCTCTGCCCAACTCTCCTGCCTGTCTTGCTTTGTTCTTAAAACTCATCCGTGATGGGCAGCATCCTCGTGCTGAGGATGTCCTTGCTCGAATGGCTCCGGTTGCCACAAGCTGCCTGGAAAGAAAAAAATGCACCTATTTCATATAGCTGCCATTGGTGACTGCCGGAAAATAGGTTTTGGTTTTGGCTTTGGCTTTGTATTGACTGTAGGTGTTGGAGTGTTTTTGTGTGTCCTCGGTATCCACTTTCTGCGGAATGAAGAAAATGTGGGAAGTTTGAGTGCTTTGGTAACTCCTTTCCCTGGGAGTAGACATTTCTCATTTGGGGGGTTTCCCTTCAATGTCCTGGAGTAACATAAAATAAAATAGAACAAATTAACACTAGAGATATTCCCCTATCAAAAGCGGAACCTAAGTGACCGTTTTCCCCCTCCCCCCGCCCTGACGGGGGGGTGGGGCGTCGAGCTGCGCGTGCGCAGCAGAGGCAGCGCGCCCCTCCCCTCGGGGAGCCCAGGGGCGGGGCCCCGGGTGGCCCCGCCCCCCGGCGGGAATTCCCTCTACCGCCCCTCCCGTCCGGGGCCGCTGGCGGGGGTGGGAGCGCCGGGCGGGGTGGGGGCAAGCCCCGGCGGGCGGTGAGCGGGGCCGGGGCCGGGGCCGGGGCCGGGGCCGGGGCCGGGGCAAGGGCCAGAGCCAGAGCCAGATCCAGGGGGATCCGGTCCGGTCCTTCCGTCCCGCCAGGGGTGGGAGGCTGGTGGGCGGGTAGCGCCGCCGCCGCCCCCTTCTCGTGCGCGCGGGGCGGGGGGAGGCGCTTACGGCCGCTGCAAAGCGCCGGCTGCCCGAGGAAGGGGGCGAGGCGGAGGCCCCGCCGGGCACGGGGGCTCCTGGGCTGCGGGGTAAAGAGCGGCCGGGCGGGGGCACCTCGGCGCGGGCTCCGCGCTACGTGCGCGGCCGCACGCACGCGCCCGGGGACACGCGCCCGGGGACACGCGCCCGGGGACACGCGCACAGGGACGTCCTCGCGCCGCGGCGGTCGCGGGCACGGCGGGACGCGCCGGGCTGGGCTCGGCCCCGCTCGCGGCCCCGGCCCCGGCCCCGGCCCCGGCCCGGGGGGACGGCGGCACCGAGAGGTGGCGGCGCAGCGCGCGGGGGAGGGGCGGCGGCTCCGGGGGGGCTGCGAGCGGCGCCCCGGGGACCCTTCGTCTCTCCGTATTTTCCTCTTTTTGTTTCCTTTTTGTGCGTGCGTGTGTCACGTTTTCGTGCCTTTGTCGCCACCTGGCTTGGCACCGGCAGCCAGGCGCTCGTCACGTCCCTCCGAAGTGACGTGACACCCCCCCCCCATTCCATAGGCTTCATCTGCCGCTAGGATGTTTGTGTGGATGTTTATGTGGATGCTCCCCAGTGTCGGGCACCGTTTGGAGCTGCTTCGCTGCCACTTCAGGGACAGGGCATCAGTGCAGAACCACCCCGAGGGTGACTGTTGCCACGAAGTGTCCCTTAGGAAAGGGTTGGCTCCGTCCCCGGCTGACCAGGACGGCTCTCGCGCCGCGGGCAAGGCCTGCTCCTGTGCAAAGCGTGGCCTTTGCGCCCTGCCGAGGCTCGCAGGGCAGCCCCTGTGCCCCCAGACCCGGGCCCGCGCCCCTCGCTCGCGGTGCCCCTTAGCTCCGTGTGGCTCCGCGTTAGCTCCCCGTTTCCCCCTGCGAAATGTCTTGGGAGTTGTACGGTGCAGCTAAATCAGCCAGAAAAGAGAAACGGGTCAAAAAAAGTCTTACCTATCGCGAATTTCAAAGTCAGTTTTATCACTGTAGTTCATATACTTAAAATATATTCAAAATTATTAAAATACTAGCCGCTGTTTCTCTGAAGCTTCCATTCTTTTAAGCAGCGCACCACTGAATTTCAGCTGCATTTTGCCCTTCCACGGGTGCTTATGTCCTGAACGCAGCTGTCGTGTTTGTTTACATACCCTTGTTTTCACATTACCTTAAGGTGCAGGTTCACACTTGAAACCAGATAAACTTGATCGGGTTGTGCAGTGATAACGTGGGATATTATGGTCCTAAAGGCTTTGGCCGCCCTAAACTACAGTATAACTTACATTTAGGTTTATTTATCAGGAATATCTTTGAGGTGGGATATAGGTTAACTTTATTCAAAAGCATGGGATTTTATTTAAGAAATGTCGCAACTTACAAACCATCAATAGAACATTTGAAACAAGAAACAATGATGCTTTTGTCTGGTTGCATCAACTGGCATCAGAAGTTAGTGAGATTCTTGTTTCTTTTCCATCATCTGTACAAATCCCTGAAACTGAGATTACAAATTTTATTAATGAACTTAGTTTATTTTTAAGACGGTTTGTTAGAGACACTAAAAATAAGATAGCTATCATCATCTGGTTAGAAAACAGATAAAATTTTTAAACCATTTAGGGGTGGTTTAGCTCTGCGTATTTTTTCTCATGCTGTTTTATTTTCCTGCAGTGAAATACATGGTAATCAGTTTCTATTCTTAAGTCAGCATGATGGTCTTTAGTAAGATGCACTTCTAAAATTCCATTTATTTTGCAAAATAGCCATAGTAAGTATGATGGTACAGTGCAACAGGAATGACATTTCTTTGATAATGGCTCACCTGAGGTGCTTCAGTGAAAGAAAGTTTGTTTATTTTGAAAAATGCAAGGTTTAAAAAGTGGATGGAAAATGGAGAACACTGAGGATAGGGGAATTCCCTTCTAATCCCTAACAACTAAGTACATATCTGATGCACTGGGTGGTTTATCTCCCTTTTCAAAACTTTATTGTATGACACACTCCTTCCCTTGTTGGTTTATATTGTGCTCCCATAACAATAGCTGGTATGTACATTTTAAAATATTATTATTGGTTTGGAAATTAGGAACATAGAGAAGTGAAAAATAACATAGCATTACACTAAGTGGTATGTGTTAGTACTAGAAGAAGGTTTTTGTTTGTTTGTTTTGGTTTTAACAAAAGATTAAGACAAAATCTAAGCATCAGTAAGAGTGGGAGAGATTTTCGATGAAGATATTTTAAAGTTTTTTCTCTAAAATGAAACATCTCTAAATGTTCATTTTCAAGCCATAGTATAGTAGGAACTTAATATTTGCAAGATAAGCTGTAGAGAAAACTAAAAATTTTCTAACCTGAATCAGGATTTTTGTATAATTCCTCTTTTTTATTAGTGTGAGTAAAGCTATCACTTAAGATTTAGAGAACAGACATAAGTAAAAGGGAAAAAATACTTGTGGCCATTACTGAAGTTTTTCTGTTTGTTTATTTTTAAGTGAATCTAGCGGATGGCTGAAGTTGGCTTGAGTGTTGAGTTGCTGAAATGTTTTGCTGTTCGAGAGCCGTGAAAAGGTAGGGCATATTGCTAATTTAACTTACTTTTAACACATCTAAATAGTCTTTGCTTATGACTTAAATATATGTGAAATTGATTGTGTGGGGGTTTTTTGTTGTTTGATGTTTATTCCTTTTGTTCTTTTCATGTATACCTTCTATGTCTCTATCTATATCTTAAAGTGAAATTTTCAACAGAGTATCCACAGCTGAAATCCTCCCAAGCCATCTATGCCTGTGCTCCAGTGAGTTATCAAAAGCACTCTAAGCAGAACAAAGGTTTTTAAAAGGCTTAATTATGAGAAAGTGGTATTCTGAAGCTGAATGTGATATCTGATACATTGCTACATTACTGAGTTATTAAATTTTAGTGTTTCAAAAGAAGAGGAAAATATCTGTTATAATGAGCTTAGTTTTAACACAGCTTTTCAATGTCAAAGATATAAGCAAAAATGTTAAACATTGGAGAGTTAAGGGGGAAAAAAACAAAGGGAAAAATGAAATCTTTGCTAGATCACGATTGCATAATGTGTTTCAAGTAGAGATTGTGTTTCATAGCTTTCCTAAAGCGGGGATGGCTCTCTTCGAAGTGCTTATGACCTTGATTTTGACTGGAGTCCTTTCTGTTCTCTTCCATTCTCACTAAGACTCCTAGAACGATGTACTGCTCCTTGTCAGAGAAGCCACAAGCATCTTGTGCGTATTTTCTCCTTCTAAATTCATTTTAATCTGTTTATTTTTGTCAATTCTCTTGAAGTATGCCTCCAAGTTCTGTCTTTCACCTTCACTGAATGAATTCTTCCTTCTGTCACGCAGACTAATTTTGGCCTTTGAACATTTCTCTTTAAAGCAAGTTCAAAATAGACTTTTGGCTGCAATCCTGAGCCTTCCTACTGCCATCACAGCGTTGTTTAGATACAGAGCAAGGGAACTGAAGCGATCCATTCTTGTCCATTTTTCTTGAAGGATACCAGATGGAAGTGATTAATAGTGTACAGGTATGCTGGAGTCGTTGTTCCAAACTACTGGAAACAGTTTGCAGTATAATCAGACTGTGAATATGTGAAATGGTGTAAAACAAGGCAAGAAGAGAACCGAGACCATTACTAGATGCAGAAGGAGGTTCCTAGAAGGAAATAGAATGTGTTTTTCTTGCACAGATCTTAATGAAAGCCACAATCAAATAGGTAACTTTTTTTTTTCCAGAAATATTTTTTCTTTTCTACTGCTTCTATCCAGTTGCTGCAGAAGAAAAATATGAGAACTTCTATATTTTTCCTCTTTTTTTTCCTCCTCAAGAAGACAAGGACTTTTTACTGTTTTTCACAAAAGCATGATGTTGGCTTGATATTCCATCTCCTGCTCTTCAGATTAGGATCATGAGTGATAATGCCAGCTAGTCCTGGAATCTTTTGGCTTGCTTTTTTTTTTTTTGGGGGGGGGGGGGGGGGGTTGTGCTTTTTTTCCTGTTTAATGCACACTTCTGAATTTTTTTTTTTTGAGTTGTAACAGTTGGGAATTCCATCAGTGGTCTTAAATTACAGGTCTTTCTTCCCACATTTCTACAAAAATCTTTTCTGTTGTCATCAAACTGACTGTAAAGACCTGTTAAATAATTTGCTTGCCTCTTATGGAGAGAACCAGTTACCTCGACCCATTTTCACATTTCCAATTGAAGGGCTAGAAAAGTTGAATTATAAAAATATAAAGGCATCACATCCTCTTGACAACTCAACTGTTGGCATTTGCCATTTGCTAATACAAAAAATACTGCTTATTGTCCAAGCACTAATTTTGTTTGCTTTTTTGTTTGTTTTTAATGAAAGTTGGCAGAAGATGATTGTGCTTATTTCTGTGCTTGGCATAATTACTTGATCTATGATACTAAGTGAATGGCTCTTTGTAAAGTTCTTTCTTATTAGTACTTCATGTAATTGTTCTTTATATGTGAATGGGAAGCAGTTTTGCCTCTTGCCTGCCCGTGCATTTTCCTGTTTGGATCTTGCTTGGTACTGTGAAGACAAGCCAAGCTCCTTTGAACTGCAAGCTGAAATGAAAGCACATCAGTGAGAAAATAATTTCATAGCCCATGAGATCAGTTAAAAGGCAAAAGCTATTATTAAAATATTTATCATTTATATCATGTACTTGATGTCGAAATAAAATCTTTTGGCAATTAGGATGCTAACCTGAATATTGTCTTTGAGACATAGAAGGAAATCCTCATGGTCTTTACTTCAGAGCTTGTTTCTCCTAGCATTTCAGTCTTCTCTTACTCAAATGTACTCTTTAAACTCTTGTTTAATTTATACCTATTTGAGTTATTCAATCTTTTGTACTCTCTGAACTTTCTAGAATTTCTTCCACATAACCTTACCTTCTGCTCTTACTTTAAATGGTCTTTTCCGACCCTTGAAACTCCCTTTGTCCTTGTTTTCGTCTCTTTCAATTAAGAGAGGAAAAAATGGTTTTCTTGCTTGCTAATGTCTTCTGTAAAAACGTGTACTTGAAAAATTGGATTGAATTTGTTTAGCATGAGTGCATGAACTTCAGAAACAAAAGCAGGACTACTTCTGATTGAAATACTGCTATTATTTCAGGGTAAAAACAAATGCTCTTTTGACAGTGTTTGAGAAAGTATTGGCAGTGTGCTTTCTAATATGAAGGTCTGAAAGTAAGTAAGCTTTGGCTTTCAAGCTGAAGTTTGGGAATTGCTCCAAAAATCTACCGCTACAACCAGTCTTCGTATTTTTAAAATTGCTGCTTGAGCAGGGAATTTTCATTTGCTCATACTTTGAGAAGGCGAAGCAAAATGTTGTACACTGGCCCTTAGCATCCACGGCTTCTGAAACATGTTAGGCTTGCACGGAGTCGCAAGGGAGGAAAATCTAGCGCTCCGGCTTAAAATACTACTTTTAAAGGATTATACTTCCAGTTCAGAGTGTTTATTCACTTTGCATGTTCTAATGTAACGTATCAGTTTGTCGCTTGATTAGTTACATCATATGTAAACATTTTATTATTTTGTTAGGTTATACCTGGAGAAAATTTTGTCACAGCACATTCTTCAGTCAAGATCTTTGTCAGGAGCTGATGCCATCAATGCTCTTAGACCTTTCTATTTTGCTGTGCATCCAGATTTCTTTGGCCAGCATCCCAAAGAGAGGGTAAAAATCTTTCAGTGATGTGTTTGGGGTTTTTTGGTTTTGTTTTTTGTAAATGAGTCCATCTAGTCTGAATATAATATGTATTATTTTCTTTACCACTTTGAAATATGCGTTATATTTGATAATGCTGTTTTTTGTAAGTTTGAAAGCCTTGAAAATCATGTCTCTGGAATCTGTTGTTGGATCGTCATTACAATTTATTCGGGCAAGATAAGTATTTAGTTTTATTGAGAACGTGAACTATATGACTGTTTATTAAGAGTAATTGGAAGTTTGTAAATGTTAAGCCTGCATATTAGGTAAAAAAGGTAAGATGAAAACTCTTATTCAGATCCATCACTTTTAATGTTTCCTTTTCTTTTTTCTTTTTTTAATAGGAGGTAAATGAAAATTCTCTGAAGAGGTTAAATGGCTATTTGGAGAATCTGCAGAAACCAGGATTTCGCTCTTTTAAGCCAACTCGTCTTACTTTTTACGTAAGAGAAAGTGAACCAAACTCCTGTAATGCTCAGGAATCCTTCAGTGCTTCAGGTGCTTTATCTCCTGTAGAATGTATCTTCCTGTGTTAAAATTATTTTTAAAAGGCTCTTCCTTTACACAGTTACACTGACTACTCAGTTAAGTAAAATCCTGTCAAACCATGAAAATATGCATGCTAAGACCATGCAGCTAAGACCATCCAAAGTCCTTAAGATTTAAATAAAATATTGCAAGAATGAGATTTCCTGGCAACATTTAGATCAAGTTACAGTATGGTGAAGCATAGATTGAAAAAAAAAATATTTTAATGCTTTTAATGTCATTGTTCGTGTCTAATTGGAGCAAAAGTTACTCGTCGCAGATGATGCATAATCAGTACCAATGTACTGTAGAATTAGTGTTACTCTGTAGTGCGCTCAAATCAGTAGTATTCTGAAAGCAGATATTTTATAACATATGCAGGCTTTAATTTACCATACATTCGTTAGCTTTGAGACTATTGAAAGTATTGCCATGTTTGGAATACTTGTTTTGGTTTGATTTTATTTCACGAGTTTTCTCTAAATGAACTAGTTCACCTTATCCGTCATATAAATTTTCATTGCATTCTGTATTCTGCTGATCCAAAAGCTGAGGGTCCTGAGGGCTCAGAGGGTGACAGAGCCCTGGCACAGGCTGCCAAGAGAGGCTGTGGAGTCTCCTTCTCTGGAGATGTTCCATACCCGCTTGGACACAGCCCTGTGCCACATGCTCTGTGTGACCCTGTGTGTGCAGGGAGGTTGGATTAGACGATCTCCAGAGGTCCCTTCCAACCTTAAGGATTCTGTAATTCTTTGATTTTATGAGAACCTTGAGCAAATTTTGATTTGCTCAAAAAACTACTAGAAATTTTTTTTGGTTTTGTTTCTTTTTTTCCCTTCCCAAAAAAACACTGGTAGGTTGTCCACTTTTCTTTAAAGTAAGACTTGAACTGGCAGCTGTGTTCTGCTTTTGTCTGTTAGACTGCCTTGCTTTATAGTGGGGAAACTACTCCAGTCACTTAACTACTGAGCTTTAGTGTGTTACTGTTAAGTGTTTTTGAAGCTTTTGTTTGGAGTTTGAGTTGTTACCGTACTGCATTTCTATAGTGAATTGTATCCAAATTAATGACATAATAAAAATTGTGTGTAGAACTGTTGAACAAAACTACCAGTGCTAAATCAAAATCATCTTTTTCTGCTTTTGTTTCAACTGTAACTAAGATTTCAACTTGTCCAATGATTCAAACAGCAGAAATAGTTCCTTTTTAATATTTTCAGACTTGTGCAATTTTAAAAGATAAAATGTGTTTAGAATTTTAGAATTTTGCAGTGAGCATTAAAATAAGTTTCCTAAGTTTAATTTCCACATCAATACCTATGCACACCTTTTTGGCCTCTCATAAGATGAGAAACATGAATGCACTTAAAAAATACTTTCAATCAAATAATGCTGATTTTTGTGTGACTTGTATTTTTTAGGTTTTCGAGCAGTCACTTTTACATTACGTACCAGGGACCTCCTGAGCACAGTATTAGATATTCTCAATTCCTGCAGTTTATCAACGGAGCATGTTCGGAGTTTGAATGTGAACTCTCAGCCCCACAAGGAAGCAAAAGCTGTGCAGAACAGACCTATCAAATGGGATAAGACTTATTATTCATTTACTGGATTCAAAGATCCTGAGGAAGAACTAGAACAAGCCCAGAGAGTAGAAACAACTTTAATGTATGCATATTTTTTAATTTGTACAGATATCGTGTAGAATAAATCTGTCTTATATAATACTACTTTGGGGCTGCTGGTGTGGGTGGGTTTTTTATTTTTGAAGGTGATCTGTATGATTTGGAAAGACTACTGAATATTATCATCCAATATATAATTTCCTCACATTTCTACTGGTATAATTAAAAGAGTTCAGATGATCTCCTGGGATAACTATAGTGCCAGCTGGGATAAGGCATTCCTGTCTTGTTGCCCAGCATTCATGTTTGCGTGATCTGATTTTTCAGCTTTGTGGAATGTTACTGACAATCTAGAAGGAGGCAAAACATTTAACTTCCTATAAGTAATTACTTGCATCCTACAGGACTTGGATAATGCAACATTAAAGCCTATAATCATTATCATTAGTACTTATTATCACAATCTACATACACAAAGAAAAAAAAAAAAAGAAAAGGCAACCTAAATGTTTACCTATAGACTGTTATCTAAAATAAATTTGCGTTTAATGAAACTTGTGGTGATTTAGAAGTCCATTATTTATAAACTGTTTTTATCTGCTAATTTTGAAGTGAGATAAAAATACTGACGCCAAGCCCATTTTTTCTATACTAATGAAGATTGTATTTATACTAATGAGGACTGTGTTGGATTAAATTACAGAATTGAAGTGATAATATCTTTGGAGCCCAAGACAACCATTATCCTATCTAGCATCTCATAAATAAAACTGCATTACATGGTACTGTAAAACATACTTAACCTATTACAAAAGTCCTACTAGGAGTCTGCTTTTAGTACTTAACATTTTGGCTTTGAGCCTTTCTCCTTATTTTTGAGTTACAGGGTTTGAGGTGTTTTTTTTTTTCTCTTCCTTACTTCAGAGTATAGAGTAAGAACTGCAGTGTGGGGGTTTTTTTGTTGTTGTTGTTGTGTTTTTTTTTTTTTTTTTTTTTTTTTTTTTTTTTTTTTTTTTTTTTTTTTTTTTTTTTTTTTTTTTTTTTTTTTTTTTTACAAAAACAAAGTGAAATTTAGCTTCCAAAGTCATGCTTGAGCAAAGTGCTAAATGACTTAGAGTAATATCCTTCTAGGAACATAATAGTCCAGTTGGTGGAGGTCTCGAATGTGCTCCACGAGTCCTGCTTTCCTAGTTGTGATTACACTTCCCTGATTTGTATAACAAAAGAACAGTAGAATTTTGACCCATGTGTCTGTGTTCATCCCAGCACTGCAGGAGTTACATAAGTTGGCCCTTTAGTATTTTCTCCCTTATTTGATGGTCTGCTATGATCAGACTGTCATGATTTTTTATTTTTTATTATTATCTTTTAAGACAGAAGCATAGTTCCTCGGTTCTCATTAAAGCTCTGAGACTCTTGCCTAAATCACACTGATCTACTTCTCCATACCTTTCACATCCCTCAGAAAAATCTTGCAGTTTTAACACTGTCAAAGTACTTCTATTAACTTGATTGCTTAGTTCCCCATCAGATTAAGAGCAAGGTTTTCATATATAGATATCTCAAGGGAAAGTATGGAGCAATTTCCATTTCTGTCCTCCACTTTTACAGCTTACCATTACCTGATAACATTAATGTTTTATTAAGGAGTTTGGTTAGTTGAATTGTTTACGTGACAAATAATTTGGCGTGTCCTACTTTGTTTTTTCCTAAGATCCTGGTTAGATGATAATGAAGCAAATGCAGAAAAAAAGCTGAAGAAGAGTTTACCACTTAGAGAAGAATTAGAACGCTTGAAATTTGAACTTTCTCATCAACTCCAGCTGTCTGATATCAGGTAATATATTTAATCAGATGAACTTGCATTAAAAACTTGTCAGATTGAGGAAGCATTATACACTGTCATTAGGTGAGAAAGCTTATTCCAGCAAAATAGCTCTATGTCATATATGTTAAAGTGTTGCAGTGAATAAGGGTTTCCAGAAGATGTCCATGGGGACAAATTTTTCCAGGTACAATCTGCTCAAAAATATGTAGCGTTTTTGAGACAAGACTAATGATACAAGCTGCAGTTGAGGCAAAGGCATATGCAAATAGGACCTGGGCATTTCCTTTCATTTGAGTATTTTGCTGGGTGAAATTGCTTTTCCCAAGTTCAAATGCATGTCTATTAAGATAACTGCATTAGTAGTGAAATGCAGCTTTGCACATATTTACTGACATCCTGTGAAGTCTTAATAGAAATGCCCTTATCTCGCATTTTCCCACATTCTAGAGGAGGAGATTTGTTTGCTTTAAAAGGCAGAGTACAGTTTGTCCTCTTCTTTTTTTCTTCAGAATATTTTTTCAGAAAATACTTCGTAATCCTCATTGGAAGAGAAGAGAAAGTTAAAGAAAGAATGTTCCAAAGTCTATTAAGTAGTGGGTGAAAGAACTTTGGGACTATATGAAAGGCTGGTCTGTTAAGTTGTTCTTTTAACCCGGAGAGAATAATATTCTCCAGAGGGAACTGGACCTTCTGAAGCCAAGGTGTTTTTCCTTTCTCTGTGTAGAGGGCTCTAGCTTCCTCAGACTGAATTCAGTCTTTCTCAACACAATTTCTACTCCTCTGCAACTGTATGTTTTTGTTCTCTGCTGAAGTGAATGTTTTTGTTTTAATACCGAACGTTATTCCAGAAATTTAAAATGCATAGATTTGGTTTTATTCATGGCTTATATTCAATTTTTTTAGCGTTTGTGCTTTTAAAATGCTTTGAAACTATTACATTCTGTGGAGAGTTAAATATTAACTTTTCATAGTTTAGAAAGGAATGCAAGTTGTCAGAAATCCGACTAGTAACACATAAATAGGAATAGCTACTTGTGATCATGTAGCCTACTGCTGTTTTCTGCAGAAGTTTGAACAATAGAATGGGATCATTAACTTTATCCTATGCCTAAGTCTAGGACAGCAGAAGATAAGGTTGAGACTGAAAAAAAACCTTTTTATGATCCAGTTTGTTCTAAAGAAAGCCAAAATGGCATTGCTAGGTAATAATAAATTGTGATTGAAATGACTTACACTGTAATAGACTGAGTTGCCTTATGAGTGTCATGGCATAGTGCCATTCTCTGTGTCCCAGTCATGGCTTTTTGCCAGTTATGGATTTCTCTACCAAGAGAATGATAATTTCCAACTTTAAGGTTGTTTTAAATCAACCAGAGATTTGGCTGAAGTTCAAGAATGTATTTTTTTGATATATTTGGACAACTTTACAATTTAGACTTCTTGAAATTTAATTATGAGTTCATCTCTTTCATCTATGATGAAAGAAATATCAGAACAATGTATATTTAAAGTTGTGAATAAAAATATTTTTTTATTTCTAAGAAAAAAAATCAACTTGCTTGTGTCCTTGTATAAAGTATTTGCCCCTCTAGACAAACATTACACAGTGTGCAAACACGCTGCACACTGCATGACTCAACCAAGTATGGGGTTGCATATTGCTATTTACTTCCTCTCCCCCTCCTTGGTAAGGAAGAAATTTGCTTCTCAGTTTCTATACCATCTAGTAACTTTTGTGTTTGCTTTTCCTAGATGCATCTGCTTATGCATTTATCTATTTTTATAACATTGTTCTTGGCAAATAGGATATAGTACTGCAAATAGTACATAGTACTAAAGAGTATATGATATGGACAGCTTTTCAGTAGTCTGTTGCTTTTATTACTGTTCAAGAAATATTATTCTATGTGAGCTCTTGTCTGTGTTTTAAGGTTATATCTCAACTCCTGTATTTTTGTTTATATAATGTTGAGCCTGAAGGACTCTGAATTGTGTTTTAGGTGGCAGAGAAGCTGGGGTATCGCTCATCGCTGTAGCCAGCTACACAGTCTAGGTCGTCTAGTCCAACAAAGACCTGAAGTATTAGGAAATGTGAAAGGTATGTCCTGATGTGTCCTCACATATCCTAGTATAGTATTGATTCAGAGAGGCATGCGAGTCCTTGGTGACTGGGGTACTGTACTGCTTTCTCTCAAGTGCTCTTGATGCTCTTAAAATGATGGTGTTGTGTTCTGTTACCATATTTATTCCATAAAACACTTATACTGAAGGATTGTGTCATCTCCGAAAAAAAAAAACTCTGTAATCCTGATTATTTTTCTCTTGGGCCCTTGGCAACAGCTGTTCACTTTAACTGTAACTCCACATTTATGCCTTTATTCAGATGCTCAGTTTTGAGTGGTTTTCAGAGTTCTTTTGATCCTTTGTCAAAGCCATTTTTAAGACAATAGGCAAGAGGTTTAAATTTAATTTCAGATTAGGTATTTTTTACCAAAGTGTACTAAGGATATGAAGTGCCAGAGAAGCAGGTATCCATCTTTGATGATCTTTAATAATATATTGGACAATTATCTAAAAATCTATTAAGATAATTTGAATGAGGAGAAGGTAAATGCTTATTAAGGTTTATATGGAAAAAATCCTTTAACGGGAATTTTCAAGAATCATTTCTTCAAATTTCGAGAATAATGAAAACACACATTTTTGTGTTGAAAAGTATTTTGCTTGTAACATATTAATGTTATGGTTGAATCTTAAATAAGTGGGAATAATGACAATAACCAAAATTTCTAAAGATCTTTATTTATTTGTTAGGACACACGTTGATATTTACAGACCGTTCAGGAATGAGTCCTGCAGGCCACGTAATGCTGGGGACCATGGATGTTCATCATCAGTGGACCAAAGTAAGAGCTCAAGTGAATTATTTGAATGATTCTGAAGTGCGTCTCTGTCTCTCTGTTTCTTTTAAAAAAAAGATTATGACAACTTTTTTTTGTATATACAAATATATAAATGTGTGTGTGTGTGTGTATATATGTATTTATATCTATATCTATATATAGATATATAGATAGACAGATATAGATAGATATAAAAACTATTTTGCCAGAAGCTGCTCCACTTTCACTGTTCTGTCAGATTTCTCAATAAATCATCTGAGATCATTTGACTTGTTCAAGCAAGAGTATTTTGTATACATACAAAAAATACATACATTTGAATCTGGAACTATTAATGTCTGTACATACAAGGACTGTTAATTTCTCTCTATAAAGATAAAGGACATCTGTCAATTATGTTAATGACCTTTCAGTTCCTTTGTAGTATAAATATTAAAAACATTTGTAAGCACATTCTATTTTATCTTGCCCAAAGAGTTGCTATTTGGGGGAATTATTTGGACTTTTTTTTTTTTTTTTTTAAGTTGGGTTCTATGTTTGCACCACTAAGAATCTCTCCTTTTGTAGTGTCTGGTGATTTTTTTTTTTTTCCCCTTTTTCCTCTCTCAGTTTTGAGTTACATGCTGTGTAACATAGGATGTGATTTTGTGTATCTGCACAGATCTTTGAGAGATTGCCAAATTATTATAAACTTCAGAAGAGGATGCTGTTCTTGGAGGATCGGATAAGCCTCCTTCTGGGAGGCATACGAGTGATCTACATTGAAGAGCTGCAACCCCTGTTGACGCTGGAAGAGTACTATGACAATTTGGACTCCTTCTATAATAAATTACTTGACAGCAGGCTACCTTTTCATCCTCGCAGTCTGCGAGGCTTGCAAATGATCCTAGAAAGGTAGGTATCTGCAGGAAAGTGATGTTTTCTTTTCGTTTTGTTTTGTTTTTTTTTTTTATTTGTTACATTAGTTACTGGTTTCACTAACAAAAATAAATTCTAATCTTGCCATAAACTTTAATATATCTGGAACTTTTTGTTTCTAACAGTGCTAAGTGACTTTTTATGGGTTTCAAAGGGGTCAGGTTGAAGGGAATCATGAATATTTGAGTGAAGTTAGCTTGTCAAAATCCTGTCCTTGTCTTACAGTGCAGGACTGGGCTAAATCAAAGGTTTTGTGCTGTCACCTCATCTGTCAACTGTGTCAATGGTGTATATACTTTTGAGTTATGTTGGCAGAATTGCTTTTGAAAAATCAGAAAAACTTGAACGGTGTATGATGCTTCTGTATTCTCGTGAACCAACGTTGATCTTTATATGAATTATTCTGATTATGGTTAATTGATGGTTTTACCTGTCTTCAGATTTCTTTCTGAAAGTAATTTGTGTAAATATTTTGGTGCAAAAATGATATTTTGGTTTTAATTTCCACCATGTTTTGTTACAGTGATAGATACGCACCAAGCTTGCATGAATTAGGGCACTTCATGATTCCAACAACTTGTGATCCAGCCACTCTCCAATGGTTTATTATTGCCAAAGCACAAGAGGCAAGAGAGAATCTGAAAAGAAAGGAAGAGTAAGTGTTCATGCAACCCGACACACTTATTTCATGAAAATGTTCTTTTTGTATGTCTCATTTTTATTTGTAGTAATAAGAGAACTTTGAAGAATGTATTCTAGCTCTTCCAGAATTTCTTTTTACAGAATTACCTTTCCCTGTACAGCAGAATTGTGAACTCTTGTTTGCAAGCTTGTGCATTGTATGGATTTTGAGCCTCAAGAGCATGATGTAGAGATGCTGCGATTTTTATTTATTTATTTATTTATTTATTTATTTATTACCTAAAACATTGTCATAGGTAGCTGGATGGTGTTGTCATCTAGAGGTTGTTAGTGAAAGGTTGTTTTGCTTTTTTGGATAGCTTTGAATGAATTGTCGAAGTGACACGTTTTGTCATGAACTTATGTATCATACATAGACAGACTTGATGGCTTTGTGAGGGTACTTGAGGGCAAGAAGCTTACTGAAGACTTCAGGGATTTAGATCTTGTTGCTTGGGAAACTTGATCTGAGAAATGGATTTTAATAGGACATGGAGGATTGCTGGGGTTTTCCCATAACTTCTGTGTGTTTGAAACCATGCCCAGCTTTGAAGATAAGTTGTTATTCAGCAATTAAAACCTGTACTGGAGTAGCTTTCTCTAGAATACCTTTCTTTTGGTATCATCTTCAGATTAGCAAGAGAAGAGTTGGAATGCTGTCATCATACTCTAAGTGGCTGTGTTGTTTGTAAGCACTAAGCTCAGTATCTCACCGTCTTTGTATGTTGGATAATTGGCGCTTTGTATAAAATAGTTAAGAATAGCCATACTGTGGGAGACCAGAAGTTTGTCTAAACTCTATCATTTGCTAGCTTAGGGCTAAGACTATATGAATGGGGCATTTTTTTTTAAACTCTGCACTCCTTGCCAGTTTTTAACCATCTATATTTGAGAAACATACTTGAAGCCCAAGTGCCATCTCATGTTAAGAGCATGCAATAGAGCCTTTTTTTTCCCTAATTCTCTAGTTACATTTTGAGTCAATTTACATTTTGTGGCTCTAAAATATCCTGTGGCAGCAAATGGAACGGTTTAAGTGTAGCAAGTATATGGCTTGGAAGGAAGGGGTGCTCTTCTTTTATGGACCTACAGCCTGGTGACGTTCTCTTGTTCTTGTGCTGTTGGAAATACAGAGAGGTCTCTGTATTTATCACCTCTGCTTTTTTTTATTTCACATATATATATTTCACACATATGTATATATGACAGATATGTCATATTTCCCCTTGATTGTCTTTTTAATGAAGTTGAAAGTTCCTTGCCGTTTAAAGTTTGCCTGAACAGAACCCACTTTGTACTTCTGGCTGCTCTTCTCTTCCAGTGTCCCCAGTTAGCTCTTACACGCTTGGAGTGAGCAGCACAGCTCGCAGCAGTGGCTGTCACAGGGCTCCGAGTAAAGAACAGTCTGAATTTCTACAGCCCTGCTGGCTCCAGAAGAGATGCAGCTAAATGTGGCATGGTGCCTGAGCGAATGTATCTTGCTCAAGCTGAACCATCTCTGCATCTGATGTTCCAGTTTTCAGTTGCTCTTAATTCTCTTGAAAAGCTCAAATTTTCCATATGATCCAACTGCTTTTCATAGGGGCTGAATAGGGGAAAAAAAAATCTGTAAGTTGTGATTACAATATTTTCTGTACTTCCTGTAGTTAAATTATTAATACACATCACTTGACTGTACCTGACACCCGTTGTTGGAGATGACATGCAGGGTCTTGGTTAAGATAGAGGAGTCATTACTTAGCTGTCTCATTAACGTGGTTTTTGTCCTCAAAGCTTAAACTTTGAAGCTTAAAAACTTACATTTCTCATCTTAAAAATGAAGCCCCAGAATATTATTATTTTGGAGTATTAGCATTACCTGGTCTCCCCAGATTTGGTCCCGTGTGTTTGCAAAGGCAATTCTTGGTAGGGCTGCTCTTGCATGCAGTTGCGAAAGCATGTCCAGTCCAACCAGTGAAGCCGGCACGTGGCTCAAGTCCTGACTTGAGAGGACATCTCAACAGTGCCATAATTGTACGTTAATTAAGAAGCGATACCATTGTTTAAATGTGTATAACATAAATATATGTGTATTTTTTAAGAGAGTGTGCCTAATTTTGTTGCCCTATGTCGTCTTCGTTCTCTAGGATGATGCTTACAGAGAAGGAGCTAATCACTACTTCCACTGAGAAGTTTTCCTTGGACCGCCTGTATAAGGAACCCAGCATTTCCAGTGCACAGATGATAGAGTGTTGTAAGCGACTGCTGCAAGAGTCGTTGCCTTACCTGCAAGGCATGCACCTTTGCATCTCCCACTTCTACTCTGTGCTGCAGGACGGAGACCTCTGCATACCTTGGAACTGGAAAAGCTGAGAACTTATCTGATAATCAGATGAATTATTTTCTGTAAGAGCCTATAAATACAAATGTTTTTAAGAGTAAATTATTAAAATCTGTATTTTGATATCAGTATTAAACTCAAGTATTTAATTTGGACTGCTGCTCAAACAGGATTGGAGTCCTAGACAACTTGCAGGATATGCAATATTTCCAGTTCTGGGAAATACATGTGTATGTTTTCTGTAATCCTGTAGTGTTTGGAGTATAGGGTAGCAGTTATGGAATTGCATTTTTGTAGTGAATTATGAAAAGTTATGACACTACAAGTCTGCAAAAATGTACATGTGAATTTTTAATATATATAAGTATTACCAGATAGTTTTTTCTTAAATATAGGGAAGAATGTTTCATTCCAGCCAGACACTACATATCTTAGGGGACTAATCGAATGCAGAAGTACATAATACTGCTGGTGGCAATTTTGGTGTTTACTATTGCTACTTCCTACGGAATAAAAAGAAAATCTACATCATAATATTTTTATTTTGCAGAAAAAAAAAAGGAGTACCTTGAACTTGGTTTCAGTAGTTTCGCACACCGATCCAACATTGTTGCCTTAGAATTTCCACATATGTGGGCTGTGTTGTCTGCAGTTACTTAAAAGAAATGTCCGCCTGTACTTGTTTCTCGTCATTTGTTCCATAAATACCGATCATCCTTTTTATGCACACGGCTAACAGATTGCAAATCCCATCACAGCACTTACTGCCCGAGTGGTTTAATGTGGCACCTGAGGAAAGGAAGCACTGATTTGTGTGGGATTGTTTGCAAGAGTAAGTACTTGTCAGTGAGGGACAGGAGTTCACAGGAAGGCTCTACAGAGCAAACACATTGATCTGTACCAGTGCTCCATTGCCTGAGTAAAATGAAATGAAGGCGTCAATTTAGGTTGATATCCCCTCATTGTAATATGTACCAAAAGGGGTGTTGTATTTAGGTTACTATTTTGAAAAAAAAATCATTAAAAAAAAAAAAATCAGCTACTTATCATTTTTAGACTTGACTTCACTTGTGAAAACTGGCAAAAAAAAAATAAAAATAAGCAATCCCCTCTTGTTTACATGCCTTATATTTGCCTTTGTCATCAGTAAGGAAGTTGTTACGGTGGTTTGATTCTTCCTGCCAGAAGGTTCAAGTTGTTTATTGTGTTGCCAAACTTAAAATAGACATTTTTGAGTTTTTTCTTGAAATGTTGAAGCTCCTAACGCTCCGCTCTGGGTTCGGGCTTGTTGCCTCTCCCTGCAGTCTTTTAAGCAGTTGCCCTCCGAGGAGCATCACTTCTGCGCAGCACGTCTCACGTGGTCCGTGCTGGCCCTGTCCCGGCTGCGACAGCCCCGTTCCAGCCCGGCCGTGTTCCCTCCATGGGCCCTTCGGAAAGGCCTCGTGTCCCTTAATGCTCAGTCCTGCAAGGACTCAGTCTGGAGCTGGGGAGTTTGTTGCTTTTTTTTGCATCTCTCTCTCTCTGTAAATCAATTTTACCATAGAGCAGTTGGAATGGCTGACTATAAACATGGTCCTCCTAACACTTTTTTTTTAACATAGTTAGAGGAAGAATGGAGAAAACAAATGCATAAACTGAGTGTGCTCTTTATAGGTATTTATATTGGTAAGTATAAAAACAAGGTATGAACACTGTCCTGACAGTACCAGAAAATGGTAGCTGTATTACTCGCAAAACCCTTAGAATTATGTTTGATCTTCCAGTGCTTTAATGAGGCAAAACCAAAAAGAGTTTGGAGCCCTGAAAACCATGGAGGCCCCCTCCTTTTATCACTGAGGTAAGGCAAAAGTGGAGATGGAGTGGAAACTTAATCTGCTTTTAAATGGGGCAGAACACCTCCAATTCTGTTCAACAGACTGGATTATCACCTCATTGTGGGAATAAACAGCCTCACTTTAACAGCTATTAAAATCTACTGTAGATTTTTCCGGACAGAATTCCAGCTTGCTCTGAGGCCAACGAGTGAAAATACGCTGGGGAGGAAGATTCAAAATAGTGTTTGCTTTAAAAACAACTGCTGATATTGGATGAGGTGGGGTTGGTGTCTTGCTGTTTGCTAATATTTGGCTGTGCTTTCAGATTTCCTCCTCCTGTTTAGAAACTTGGAGTAAACATCTTAAAGACGAGTAAAAATTCTTACCAGTAACTGTGGCCTGAAATGTCTCCTGCTGCCCATCACAGCGACTTGTGCTACACAGATCATGTCATTCAACCTCTGACGATGGTTTAGCCTCTTAGTACAGCTGCCAGGAGGAAATGAAAAGGGTTTAGACAAGAAAAAGAAGAGATAAGGACTTAGGATGAATAGTGTCAGCTTAGTTGTTATTTTGATGCTGTGCAGACTAAGGGAGACATTTGTGTTGTCGAACGGTGCTTTACATTTTGTCAAGTGTTGGTATAATATTTTATAGAATTAGTTCTGTGAACTCTCATGGTAGCTGTTCCCTCTTGTGGCCTGACATCTTCTTATGCAGCTTTTGTTCTTTGAGCTGTATTTGAAGGCTATCTGAAATTTTGTGAAATAATGCCAATCTTGTTGTTTTTTCAGCTTTTTTAACTCTTGTGATGCCATCTCAGGGGCTAAGAGGTTTGTACTCATGTTCTGTAAGGCACTCAAAATGTTGATTACAATTTTGGGGAAAGACTTGAAAAATATTCCATAAGACTGGAGCTTATTTATTACTGCATATCCAAGCATCACTTGAACTTTTCTAGGAGAAAATGAAAGGCTTTCGCCTAGCTTATGTACATTATGGTTAAAATAAACTTCTTGAAGAAAAGATGAAATTTTAGAGCTTATTAATTTGAACTTCCCATTCTGAAAGCAGAGCATTTGTCTGTGAACTCGTTGTCTCTGATTCCCTGGGCTTAGGTGTGTGCAGTATAAGGGCCCAGAAATGAAACTGTCCTAATGCTTTTCTTCATAAACCTGTGCAATAACAAGTGTATGGACTGCAAGAGAACAGGCCAGTAAAAAAAATGCAGTGCAACTCAGCTGAGAAAGCATGGCTGTGAATGCAGTAAAAAGTTAATTAAAACCAACAAATGAAGAGCTACAGGTCATGTGCATAAATACTGTTGCATATAAATACCAGGAGAATTTGACTTTAACATGTTGAGATTAAAAGCTGTGATCTCAATGGTGAGCATGGAAGAAAATATTTAGATTTCCCCTTGGAAGGTCTTTTTAAGCCCATACTCTACTAAAGTAACAGAAAATATTCTTGTTGTACCATTTATCCTTTACATATTCTTTGCAGGATTGCTTAAGTATTGAATAATTTAGGACTTCATTTTTGCTAAGTCTTCAGGTGTGGTACTGTGTGTCTGAGTAGCCAGACTGGTTGATTAAGATCTCAGCAATGCTTTCCAAACACAAAAGCTTAGAAAGATATTTTATTTCGTAGAGCTGAAATATATTTTCTTACTTTCTTTTACCTTCTGCAACCTTCACCTCATGGTGATCTTCTGTTTCCACTCGTTCAATTACCATGCGACTTAAGTCTTATCTGACTAAGACACAATCAGTCTTATCGTGTGTTTTCAGTCTAAATTTCAGTTTTTCCAAATTAAAATCTAAAAATGTTGAGTCCGTTACAGATTTCTTTTTTTTTTTAACACTTGCTTTTCCTAAAATGTTTCCTGAAAGGGAACCAGTATAAATCAGCTGGGTCTATTGCATAGTCACTGCTAACTACAGTCCTCCAAATGTGCTTTAAATTAAGGTGCTAACCCCCTGAAACAACCCCCTGAAACACCCCCCTGGTATTTTAACTGCAGAAATGAGTAAGATCTTGGACCCATGGCAGTTGCCTAAATTTGTGCCCAAGAGAGTGGCTGCAAAAACAACAAGAAATTACATTTAGCATCCAGGTTAGAGCAGAGCAAAGTAGAATTTTCCTGTTAATTAAGTCCCAACATCCCTATGTAGATGCTCGGGAGAACAAAGGGCTTTGTGATTTCGCTTAAGATCACAGCTGGTCAACTTTAATTTCTTTTTGATTATTTCTCTTTAATCATCTGCTTTGTCGTTTGGTTTTTATGTGTTGTAGGGGCACAGTTGAGCGGTCGGCTAATGCAGCGGTGCCTGCGTGTACCCGCCGCCTGTAATCGGATATTCTGGGACCACTGACTAAAAGCAGCAGTCGGATGAGAACCCGATGTCCTCCCTCAAGCCGGCTCTGTGATCTGGCAGCTTCAGTTCAAGATCAAGGCATTTTCTGGATGGGGCTTCGTCCATCCCACGTGTAATTGTATCCCTCAGCCTGTGGTGCTCCTGGGAACCTCTCATTCTGGGTGCGTTTTTGTTGGTTTTGTTCTTTTTTTTTTTTTCTTTTTGGTGTTTTTTTTTTCCCATGTTGATATTCCAAGTTCAGTAAGTCACGGGGTCAGGGATTTATGCTGAGTTTTCGAATCGTGTTTGTGCCGTGTTCTAAGGGCTCGGGCAACTCCCGTTTTCTGTCTCGTACTTAATTTCAAGCAGTCTATCCAGCTGTCACTTCTACACCATCACAGAATGCTTAAAAAAAAGGACAAAAATGTATTTTTAATAGCATCTGTAGCTGGTTCCAGGCGAGGCGGCGCCCGAGAAGCCGGCCTGAGGCGGCCGTCGGGCCTGAGCAGAGCTGCTCGGAAGCGCCGGCCTCTCGGGAAGCTGCTCCCAAGGAGCCAGGGAAGGAAGGGCCTTTCTGGAGCCGGTGTCCGCTCTGCTGCCGAGGGAGCAGCAGCCCCGCGAGGTGCGGGGATGGGGACGGTTCTTGATGCAGAGCTGCGCGTTTCAGCCACGTCACATGGTTGACGTGACCACCAGAATGGGCGCTGCTTCTGGCCTCGTGGTGCCTGGGCACAGGGCAGTTAGTGTTTCCAGATGCACGTTCCTCCCTGCTTGTTCTCTGGGTGTTTGAGTCCTCTCCGAAGGTCGCAAGGCTCCGGTGTGACTGGCTGACCATAGGAAGCTTCAAGCAGCAGGGAACCTCGTCTTGGGCTGGTGTGAGGCCTGGAACAGCGAGGTCGTACCTAAGAGCAGAGTGCCTTAGGCTCAGTGCTACCACAGCCAAATCTAATCAATGGACCAGAACGTGAACGCCTCTATAGTTACAGATGGTTCTTTGCTGCTCGGGTCTCTGCCGTGCCAACACGACAAAGAGCCTTGGGAGGGGAAGCAAGCAGGGCTGCAAATAGGAGGAATGTGCGCTCCAGGTGTAGCCAGAAATCCGTGCTGAAGCCCAGATCCCCTCTCTTGGGTATAAGATGGTGACAAGCATGTGAGCCAAAAGGGCCTCACAAAAGGGTCTGAACCCTCCTGGCCCACATCAGAACTCAAAGAAAGAAACTATTTGTCAAGAGGGATTCCAGTAAGCACAGGGCTACCCTGTTGCCAGCCTATATTGAATACACTTTGAATATTAGTATGTATGGGAAGTGACAGCTAATTCATTAAGAAGCTTTTGTTATGGCTAGTAGTTCCCCATTTTGTTTTGAGTCTCACTTTTGAGTGAGACCTAATGCATTTCCAGAAGTCATTCATTAATGTATTGTTATAAATTCATCTTCCTATAATACAGTTCAGATTAGACCTAACACAAATGTGTTTGGGAGACAGACACATGTAAAAGA